CTCCGCAGAGTCCTGTGCTCTGGACTTGTCACTTTGCTTACTTCCCAGATAAATTGGGAGAGGAATTGTCTAAATCTTCCTGTTGTGGGGTTTTTGTTTTGTTTTTGTTTTGGTTTTTTTTTTTTTTTTTTTCAAGTAAGGAGGTGTAGTTCTTCCTCATTTCCTTGAGAAAAGGACCTCCAAGCATCCACATTGTGTGCATTTGTTGATGGTTCAAAGAAGTTTTTGAGGCTTTCCCTGTTCTTCTTCACCCTGCTCCTATTTGTATCCATCCCCAACCAACCTACCCCCACCAATGCATCACAATTTTTTTATTTTCTACTCTAGCACTTGCTACCAGGTCTTGATCTATCCCCTTTGGTTTATTTTTTTCTGCAACTCAATCCTTCAGCCAATGTCACACAGACCCTGTCTTAATTTTAAAGCCTTCTTCATTGATGAAATTTCTTCCCAATTCCTTGAAGAGACCCCACAGAAGGCAACTGAAGAGTGGAGGGCAAGAAAGAGGAATGTCAGAAATTCAGAACTCCACGCACCAATGCAACTGTCCTTTGCACCTCAGAAGTGATGTCAGCCAAAGCAAGTTGAAGCCTACACGTCCAGATTAGTTTAGCTCCTCACTTTGTGGTCCACAGTGGTCAGAAGTCAGAGGTCTGAGACAAGCAGGACATGTCTGTAAAGCTATGCCATCCACCGACCCTGTTTGTAGCCATGAATTCTTATGAGCTCTGCAATGGGGGAAGGATGCCCAGCACACCTTATTTTGGGTAGGATATAAGCCAGTTTTACAACACATGGGAGTACATGCCACATAACACTGATTTAGCCAGGTACCTGCTATACAAAAATCCTTGAGAATACAGCAGCGTATTTGAGGGCTCCCAGGTGCGTACAGTGGGTGTCCATGTCCTGCGCAACCCTACCATCCTCGCTAATGCTACAGTCCCAGCTGTTTGGAAGCCAGCTGAGATACTGCTGCCCCTGATGCATTCACATCTCCCTTTGCAGGACAGACCCAGCAACATCTGACTTCCATAAAGCTTGCCACAGACCTAAGAGAAGCAGAGGGTTGAAAGAGGAGGGGAAATATTAGCCTAGGCATAGCTCTATTTTCTTTTTATTCTCCACAGCAGTGAGTCTAGCTTAGAAAGGTGTGAATCTTTACAACTGCAGCCCTGAAAACACATTTCCTGTTTTCTCCTGGCAAGCACTAAGTTCTGTGCTCTTAAACCACATACAGCTTCTATAACCAGACACTGCCACAGCACTTGTGCCAAAATATGCCATTCTGAAAATGGCCTTTCACTCTCTGCATATAGTAGTTCTCTCAGGCAACTGCAAGTGCTTATGAACAGTTTTCTAATAAGGACATGGAGACATCCTTTTAATGAAACTAATCTTTTCTAGCTGATGAACTGTTATAATTTCATATGGTTCAAGTGACCAGGCATATGCTGTTGAATCAAGCAGCCCAAATATTTATTTTGACCACTTCGAAAATACCTTGCGGTCTAACTCTGGTTTGCCCAGCTCTTTGTTAAACAATTGCAAATGAGAAACATTCAAAAAATCACAGCTTGTTTATGCATAATTTGTACGCTCACAGTAGAAAGGGCTATGTATCGCAGCTAAATCATTTGCAATGAATAATTCCACCATTCAGTACAGATGCAAAGCGTTGGAAGTTAGAGAACATTATGGAAATGTATCTTCCGTCCTCAGGAGATGGGAGAATTTTAATTCCTGGCACTGAAGGCAGGCTTGAATGAGAATATGATTAAACTTTTATAACTGCTTGATGTTTTCTTGGCTCAATCAATATTCTTTTCAATAAGCCCTTGGCCTGTTTCAGAAGCACTGCCAATATTTGTTGTTGAGTAAATGTGGTTTTATTTTTCACTCCCACTGATCTGATCAACAGAATGACATTGATCACAATGAGTGCTGTGTTCAAATATTTTAAAACAATTTAATCTGCTCATGCAGGACAGAGGTTAGGTAGCGCTGTTGATTACAGCACATCTTTTAGTGGCCTGTTACAGATGAATATGCTTTGATGTCACCTCCAATATATCTGTGATCGTTCATTTGTGCAAGCAGGCAGGAACAGATGGGGTCATGCAGAATGGTTGCTTCCTTTCCTTCAAAGGAAGACCTAAAGGGACGTGACAGGCAGTCATGCGCTCCTCAGGAGGACCAACATACTGGGGATAGACCCTGATCCTTCCATACTGCTGAGTGTGAAAGCGCTCAGAGGAAATGTCTATGGTTATTTAGATGTTAATACTGTCAAGGAAAGGGATGCTAGACTAGAATTTAGGATGTGACTACAGCCTATTCACTGATCTGCCAACAGCATGTGCATAACCTTGGGTAAATCACTTAGCTCCGTGCCTTGGGTTTTCTAGCTATCAAGCAAGGTTAGTAATTCTTACTATGTTTTGTGAAATGGTTTGACATCTATGCAAGAGATGTGATGTGACTGTTGAGTCATGGCACTCGTTCAGCACATTGGTGACACTCAGCTCTTTGCCAATCCAGGCAGGAGATACTTCTACAAAATGCCAGAGAGAGTGAAGGGTTTGAAGCAAAAGTCAATCCAGGCAGTTTCAGCAAATGCTGAGAAACCAGGGAAAGTGGCAAGTAGTGAAAGGGGCAAGAATCGTTCATTCCTTTCTGAAGAAATTCTCATTCTTTGATTCAATAGTAGTATGATCTTACTAGGTCTGATTCCCAAGCGTTGTGCCCTGAGCCCTCAATGATAAGAAGTGACTTTTGTTGTCACTTCTCCATTTCCACATGTGATAGAAAACAGGACTGACCATTTCAAAGTAATGGCTGTCCTAGTAATTGCTTGTCCCTCTATTCATAGACATGATGGTTGAACTTGGGACCTGCCTTTATAAATGAGCTTACAATAGGACATGTTTCAGTGATCAGAAGGCTGTAGAAGTAATCAAGCACTGTGTGTTGAGCTGGGTTGAGATGGGTTGGTTGGCCAGCAGCCAAGGAACCACACACACCCCAGTGGGACAGGGGAGAGAACAGAAAGAGCAAATGCAATAAAACTCATGAGTCAAGATAAAGACAGTTGAGCGGGTGAAGAAAAGAGGGGAAAAGAAACCCTACAAAAGTCAGCTGATGCAAAGGCTCATTACCTCCCACAAGCAAAGGTCTCTGAGCAATGGCCAACATGGAAAAAAAAACAACCAAACAAACAAACAACTCTCCTTCTTCTTGCTCTACCCCAGCTTTTATTGCCGAGTGTCATGGTTTGGGCCTGGTTGGCAACCAACCACCGCAGCTGGTCACCTGGGAATGGGGGAGGGAATTAGAGGGGTGAAGGGAGACTCGAAGGCTGAGATAGGAACAGTTTAATAATGGCAATAAAACGAGAACAATGACGATGATGGGGGAAAAAAAAAAAAGAAATATATAAACAGGCAATGTACAGCGTAATTGCTGACCACCCGCTAACCAATACCCAGCCCATTCCCAGCTGGCAACCCCGAGATACCAAGATCCCAGAATCGCGATCCCGGAAGCGAGAGAGAGAGAGCCCCTTCCCGACCACCCCTCCTTTATATAGTGAGCATGACATTCCATGATATGGAATATTTCACTGGCCAGTTTGGGTCAGGTGCTCTGGCCGTGCTCCCTCCCTGCTCCCTGTGCCCTTGCGCACGGGCAGGACATGGGGAGTCGGAGAGTCCTTGAAGTCTCGGTAGCAGCTGAAAACATCAGTGTGCTATCAGCATTCTTCTCATACCAACCCAAAGCTAAATCCAAAACACAGCACTCATCTAGTCCCTGAAAAGGAATATTAACTCTATTTCAGCCCAAACCAAGACACTGAGCATGACGTTATATGGCATGGAATATCCCTTTGGTCAGTTTGGGTCAGCTGTCCTGCTGTGTCCCCTGCCAACTTCTGGCACAGCCCCAACCTACTCATGCTCAGGGGAGGGAGGTGGGGGCAGAGTGGGAATTAAAAGAAAGCCTCATGCTTGCAAGCACTGCTCAGCAATAGCTACGTTATTCATGGTTTACCATTACCATTACTCTTTTAGCCACAAACCCAAAATACAGTGCCAGAGGGCTGCTATGAATAAAGTTATCTCCATCCCAGCCAGAGCCAGTACACCAGAAAAGAAATCAAAGTAGGAAAAAGTCCCATTCTGGCAGAGGACTGACTAGACTGGAACTGATTAAATTACTCCCCCACAAAATTAAATATGCTCTTGAACAACTGAGGGCAGTAAACAAGTTTCAGAAAACTGCTGACCCAGCAAGGGCAGCCGATTCCCTTCCAGCAGGCCTGCACACAATATTCAGAAGTAGGGAGATAAATAACGTTACTCAGCCGAGAACTGTGTTTAGGAGCTCAGCAAAGTATTTGGCTTGATGGGCAAGATTTTTGATGGCTTCCTGATGGCCAGCTGTGGGGTTTTTTATTTTGGTTTTGTTTTCTTTTATGTTTTATATAAGTTATGGAGTTATGGAGTGCTTGGGTGTGTTTAATTATGATAAGGTTTGGAAACAGCTGTCTGTTTTAATAGAGACACTCATGCAGGGACTGCCTTATGTGAAGGAACTAATTTGTGACTCTGGATAGAGTTGTGAGTAAGGAGGAGTAAAATACCATTTTTTGTCCTATCTCTAGGAGAGCAGGGAAGGCAGGGCTCCTCGCAGCAGCGATGGTACACAGCACTTGCTACAGCACCTGGCCTGTGCTAACTAACTTACTGTGGTGTTTTCCTGGGTTGTTCACGCTCCCTCTTCCACAGGCTGACAGCTCTCCAGCATGCCTACAGCTACTCCCCCCTCCACACTTCTCAGTGTTTTTTCACAGGCTCTGAATCTCCAATTATATTCACTGACTTGACACAAGCTGAGCTGTGTGAGGGTTTCTGGAAAAGAGCAGTTATTTTATGCTTTCATACTCCCTTGTACAAAGAATGAGAGCAGGACGCAATCTAGAAGAAAGATACTAAAGAGAGATGAGTTTGTCATTTCAATAGTCAATGTGATGTTTTGGCTGTATCTGAAGATCAACATTTACAGAGAATAGATGTGTAAATCACTTTTTATATGGTTCTTCAGCGGTCGCTTTCATAAAATGATTTACTATTCCAGATGCCTAAATACTCAAAGATATTGACTGAGTGGAGACAGTTCAGAATAGTAAAAATGATCACTTAGTGCAGATGTTTTGATTTATAAACAAGCGATTAAAAGATTAAAGGGGTAAAATACAGCTTGAGGCTGGGCTAACTGATGAGCTGGAGAGGACACAGATCTCTCCAAATATGAATGAACACCATGAATAAAACAATTACATATTGCAATGTACCAAAGAGAAACCAGTGGCATACACAACTCAGTCCCACAAATTATTCTTCTATAAACCAAACTAAACAAAGAGAATTTGAGGTCAAATCTTCTGTCAAACATTTCTGCATAGACCTACTCAGTAGAATTGCAGAAGATATGGAGCTTGGACAGAACAGAAGACAAGCTTCAAGTACCATACAGGTACCAAAAAAGTTTTCTTCTTGAAATGTTTTTGTTTCTGCAGCATATTAACAATACTCTCTTTTATAGCAAAAAATGGCACAGTGTTCATTGTTAACAATGCCATGCAATGCTACAGGCTTGGGGAAGACTGGCTGGCAAACTGCCTGGCAGAAAAGGACTTGGGGGTGTTGGTCAATGGCTGGCTGAACATGAGCCATCTGTGTGCCCAGGTGGCCCCAAAAGCCAACAGCATCCAGGCTTGTATCAGAAACAGTGTGGCCAGCAGGACTAAGGAGGGGAATCAGCCCCCTGTGTTCAACACTGGTGAGGCTGCACCTCCGAGAACATGTTTTGGGCCCCTCGCAACAGGAAAGACATTGAGGTGCTGGAGCATGTCCAAAGATGGACAACAAAGCTGGTGAAGAGTCTAGAAAACAACCCCTAGGAGGAGAGGCTGAGGGAACTGGGACTGTTCAGTCTCTTCCCCCAGGTAACAAGTGATAGGACAAGAGGAAACGGCCTCAGGCTGCGCCAGGTGAGATTTAGATTGGGTATTAAGGAAAATTGCTTCCCCAAAAGGGTTGTCAAGCACTGGAACAGGCTGTCCAGGCAAGTGGTTTAGCCACCATCCCTAGAGATCTTTAAAAGACATGCAGATGTGGTGCTTAGGGATGTGGTTTAGTGAGTGGTGGAGTTGGCACTGTTAGCTTAACAGTTGGAGTCAATGATCTTAAAGGTCCTTTCCAACCTAAATGATTCTATGATTCTAAGACTGTATGATTCTGTGTTTTCTTAATCATAAGATTAAAAAGATGCTGGCTGTCTTCACACCATAGGAAATTTCCTGCTGACATCAGTTTCCCCTTTTCCAGTGGCAGAGGAAGAATGAGAACCCATCTAGGAGCAAAGCCTCAGAAGTCTGGCTGTATACTGACTGTGGGACCTGGACATTATTTTCACCTCTCCACTGGTACTGTCCAAGACTCATGCTTCCTCGTGGCACATAGCACAATTACACCTTTACAACCCAGCCACCCCTACTCAAATGAGGACTGCAAACCACTCCTCCACTATTCAGTTTATTCATGACTTCAGAAATAGTTTTAATGATTTATTATCTTTATTGAAATAGAACCTAAGACGAGGACTTTGTTACGCTAGGTGCTGCACAAACAGGATACAAATGGGTAGTCTCTGTTAATTTACAATCTCAATAATTAAGCAAAGGACAGCAAGCAGCAGACACGAAAAGAAGTGCAGAGGAGCACTAAGAACAGACAGGCCATTCTCTGGTCACATGGCAGTGTGATCACAAGACAAATGGCAGCTGCTGTTTCCTATAGGGACCTTAACATGAAGGTTTTAATATTATGGATTTTCCTTGTTTCCTTTCTTTTGCTTGTTTACAGTTTGATACACTACCTGACTTTGCAGTCTGTGTAAATGCATCTTCTGGGCAAAAGCATTAGCTTACATTTGTTGACCTTGTGATTCCTAAGGTCACGGAGTTTGAAATTTTGGGTTATACCTTATCAAATATACCAGTTACTACTGCTATAGGATAGTTTTCATGCACAATTGCTGAATGCCACTCTCATTTCCTCACAGGGGTGGTAGAAAACATTACTTGCAATTGAGTGCTCCTGTCACTCTAGTGAAGTGTAGCATCAATTCAAAACAGCCAAAAGTAACTACTGGATAGATTGTTTGAAAGACTGATCTTCTATCAATAAGATTGAAATAACAGGAACATACCCTTATTTTCCTAGGTTAGTGATTACCTCAAATATAAAGCAAGCCCGGGGCTATTTCTATTATTTCTAGTATAAAATTACATATTAAGAAATTAGAAAACATTAAGGTTGTAAAGTAAGTGACTCCTAAACTAGGGAATGTCAGAGGAAAGTAATTAATCTCATCCCATGTGTGCACTGTATTTCAATCTTTAATTATCAAAGCACTGCAAAGGGATCGCAAAACCCCACAATGAAAGCCACGATGACCCTAAACCCTTGAGTGAAAAACAAGACTTTATGATGTTTTGTGTATTTTTTTTTTCCCACAAGGGACTTTATGAGGCATTTTTTCCCATGGGTATAGCACTTTGTTGAAAGAACTGACTAATTAGTTATCTAATATTTCCTTCTATCCTTCTTTCAGTGTGGGGCTTCAGCTCTTTTTTACTATGCACCATCTAAAGCTTGCCCCTGAACACATATAGACTTACTTGTCTAGTAATAAACTTCCTACTAATATTCTGACCTATTCCAATATTTGGCCATGTTGGAAGCAACACAGAATTTATTTTGACAGTATTCACGAGACTAAAAGTAGTAATATTATTCCTCTTTTACCCACAGAAAAGTAAAGATTATAGGGACTTGGTTCGAAGTACTGAGTGCCCACTAATTTTGTCAAATCAGTCTGAGATACACAGAATCTGATTTGTTCAGGGTATTTACACTTTTTTTTTTTTTTTTTTTAATCTTAGGAAGTTTATATAAGCTTTTATATATTCAAAGCATAGCTTCCATCGAAGTGAACAGCAAGAGGAAGCGCTGAGAGCTTCTGCAAATACACTCCCAGGTGGGTATCAGGAAATTAAAGAATATGCAGTTAGGTGATCATCAGTGAGATTTGAATTACCGTACTCATCTTTTCTTGTCCTGCTAACCAAAATCAACACTTTGCTACTCTTTTAACTGGCTTGCTCATCATACACATCCCACTGCTGAGCACAGGGGTTCATGCAGCGATGGCAGCAAAATCATACCTTGAAAAAGGGTAAGACCTCCCAGCAACAGGGTAAGGCTTTAATGCCAAACTTGTCAGCTGTGGAAACTTCACAACCACAGCACAGAAAAGTAAGAACGCTTGAAAATGAAATTATACATTTTTCTTTAGTTCTGCCATTTAAAAAATAAAATTTATTACACCTGAACTAATAAACAGTAAGTAGATAAATACAAATCGGCTTTAGACAAGAAGCCATTATGAAAAATGTATCTTTACATTGGCAAAATGGCAAATGTTTTTGTAACAGGAGGTTCCAGGGAACTTGATGTGCTGATAGCATTTATTAAAAAAAAAAAAAAATCATTATAGAAAAGGAACGATTCGTTGAATATAGGAGAGGAATGGGACGATACTCAAACTCCCAGTGCCGGTGGGCACGCAGTGGTTCGGGCGGTGCCGATGCCAGCCCCCCTCAGCGCCCTCAGGCCTGCAGCCCTATGGGGCGGGCGGGAAGACGGCTGGAAAGGGCGTGACTGTCGGCAGCCATCTAGCCACAAACTCTCCAGCCCTTATTCTCCTGACCGCTGCAGCCGACTCCAGCAGGAAGGTTGTATTCTGTACGGCTTTGCCTGGAGCTGCCTGGCCTGGCGGGGGTGTGTGTGTGTGTGTGTGTGTTGCAGCCGTCACGTTCGCTTCCGCAGCGCTCCGTCCGAAGGAGGCGGTGGGGACGGTCCCCTCTTGACCGCTCGACCGACGCCGGCCGCGGCCTCCCGCAGCCGTGACGCGACCTCCCAGCTGCAGCCGGCGGGAAGAGCCGGCGGCCGGGAAGCAGCACAGGGTCCGCTACAGCCATTTCCCCCCCCCCACCACCACCACCCTGCAGCGCACCGCCGCCCGGCCTGCGGAGCTCGCGCCGTGCCGCCGCTGCTAGGTAGAACAGCGGCTTTGCGCCGCCCCCAACCCGCTGCGAGCCCCGGACCCGATGGGAGGGCTTGGAGGCGGGTTGACTGCGAGGCGGGGGGGGGCGGGGCCGGGCGCTCTAGTAGCCAATCAGGATGAGAAAGGTTCCCCACTGCGTGCTCGGATGGGCTGCGGCGCCTGAACTGACGCGACCAAGACACAATCAGAGATGGGGGGGGGAGGAGGAGGTGGGCGCGCAGTTTGAATTGCGGTAGGGCAGGCGTTGGCGCCTGGTGGCGGTCGGGGCCGGGGTGTGGGCGTGCTCCGCCGCCCCGCCATGGCCTCGGAGCTGGAGCGGGAACTGAACGAGCGGCTTCGGCAAAGCAACGTCCGCTTCATTGCTTCCATGAACCGCATCTTGGAGCAGGTGAGGGCCGCGCGCGTGCCGCCGCGGGCAGTTGGCCGGGGCTCTCGTTGTCGCGCGGGGGCGGCGGGAGAGTTCTGTCGCCTGCGCGGCCGTGCCCAGCGGGGCCCCTGGGCTGCCTCCCGCCTGTCTCGGGAGCGTGGGGCTGCCCACGGCTTCTCCTGCCGAAAATGGCGTGGCGTGGCGTGGCGTGGCGTGGCGTGGCGTGGCGTGGCGTGGCGTGGCGTGGCGTGGCGTGGCGTGGCGTGGCGTGGCGGAGCCTCGCCGCCACTTCTGCGACGCGCTGGCCGCCGGTGGAAGGCTGCTAGGCAGCACGGCCCTCTGCCCGCCTCGCCGTGAGCAACGGCAGCGCTTTCCGCTCCTCTTCTTCCCGAGCACCTCCAAGTCCTGGTGCGTCAGTAGAGACGGTCGCAACATTCTTTGTGCGCTCTAATTTGCGGTAACTGGCAATTCTCACCGTGGTTAGTTACTTGGGTCCTATTTTTCCTGGCTGCCCAAAGCCGCTGTCACCCAGGGCCTCGTGCAGCTTTGCAGTTTCCGCTGGGCCACGCACTCCTGTGGCTTGGCCTGAGGAAGCTAGTAAAGAGCCAGCTCCTTGATTACCTCTGTAAAACTTAGATCTGGGATTGCCGGTATTGAATAAGTGAGTGAAGTACAAGTCCGGGTTGCCTTTATAGTGCCCTTAACCCAAGTTAACTAGCATTAGATGAGGTATTTTCAATGAAACTACAAAAAGAAGTGGAAGACTCCCTCCTTCACTTTAGAGCTGTTTTGTGTTAAGGATGTAGGAACCATATTCCTCTGTCCAGAGATGCATGTATTTGTTCAGGGAAATGTTTTGTACTAATGTCTAGGTGCTGGCATAAGGTGAAGTCTGGTTCTAGAATGTTTCTCATCTAGCATTAGATTGGATATTTTTATGTCATGAGCTGTGGATCTTTGCTAAGTGGCTGCTTCCAGTTATTACACAGGAAGTTGAGAAGAAACTTTGTTAACAGAGTAACTTAGCCACTTTTGAAAACTTTCTGAAGCCCCGTTTTGTCAGTTACTGTCTTATGACTTGACATTGAGTGATTTATGTATGTGCTTAAAATATGTGTGTTTCCTCTAGGTATTAATGTTTCCAGATTGCTGAATTCTAACTTCAGCCAACAAAACAATGTACAGATAATTTCACATTTCAGTCAAAAGAAAATGGTATATAAACAATACTTAAAATGCGGGTTAAAAATATTGCTTTAATAACTTATTATAATCTCAATGGTCCTTTTTATTTAGTATAACCATCCTTTTGAAGATGATTTACTTATTTCCATGGAAACTCTCACTTACGTTACACCTGAAGGTAAGACCTTCTTAAAGTTTGGATATTTACAAGCTGTATATTTCAACTTAGTAAAGCCTGCAACTGTTGGCTGTTATATAACATTTAATTGCAACAGATATTGAATTTTGTTCACCTGGGTGTGGCACTTCATATGTAGCCTTTGATATGTGCATATAATACCTGGAGAGTTTATGCACCGTTTTAGTCCATTGCATGCTCTGTTTTGGACATCAGAAAAAGAGTTATTAGCAAGGCTCAGGATATCAATTGTTAATATTTAGATGACTTGTAAGAAGAAGAATCAAAATGGACAAGACTGAGTTAAAACGAAGGAATGGAGGTATTAGCAGGAAGTTACACACATGAACGGATTGTGTAGTTTCATCTCTGCTTAGTATTCCGAAGACTGCTCTGATAAATTTCTGTTATGTCAGAGTGGACTGGGTAGGTAGTCTCTCTAGCTTTTCCTTTAATGCAGTTAGTGTAAATCTATACCACATTGTGCTATGTCTTATTTTTTCTAGCGTTTCATTGTAACTGTCGATCCGTTATAGAGTTGATAATGCTTGTGGAGTGCTTATTGTGAAAAAAAACCTGTTGCTCTAAAATATATTGCTCAGAGTTTTAGTGGGACTTGTGACTTAGTAGCTTGGTGACTTTACTGGGAAATTAAATGTTCTGCCACTTTTTATTATCACTAAAGTGAGGATCATACATAAATTGCCGTATCAATTCTTGTAAAGTAGAATTTACCGGGCATACACATGAAGTACTACCACAGCGTCAAACCCACTGTAATCATTGCACCAAATATTATTTACTTTTCAAAGGCTTTTACAGACCGGGAAACTTCTATTTCATATATGCTGTCCATCAAGAGAGAGAGGAAATATGAATACAGCACTGCAATACACAGTCGTTGATTTGTAAAGGCTTGTTGAGTAACCTCTATTCAATATAAAGTGAATATGGATCTCAGTCCTGTAAAGCCTTAACTATTGCTCTAAGTAACCTCAGTTACCATGTAGCCTGCATGCATTAAATGAAATTTAAAAACTGAAATAATTTGATGGTTTTCCCCTTCTTCATAGCATCTAGGGCTGTAATGCTCTTCGAATTTTAACACCGTGTCGTTAGACTCAGTGTGTGATTATTTTTTTTTTTTTTTGCCTGACTTCTCAATTAACTTGAAATTACAATATTCTCTTGGTTTGTTTTCCTATAAATTTATGTTTCAGCAATTGTGTTGGAGGCTGTTCAGCTTTTAGAATGTTTTGTTATTATGTAATAAGTTCTCCTAAATGTTTGTTTGTTAGAATGATACTTGGTATAAATAGTGTTACAAGAAAAGCTATGTATTTATTTGTATCTTTTGTTATTTCTAGGACCAAAGCAATGGGGGGAAGTGCCAATCAAGAAGCTTAAAAAAAGGAATAAGGAAGCACTTGAGGTATCTAATAATATAGTCCTCCTATGCAGTCAAAATGTAGCAATATTTCTTTATTATGTATCTGTATGTTTATATAAATAATGTGTATAGGGATACATTCTAATCTTACTGTGCCAAATATTTGCAACAGATGTTAATCAGTGAAGTCAACATCTGATTTAAAATAGGATTTTAGGATTGATTGGCTAAGACTGTTAGATGAGACAGATTAAAATAGATGACCATTTACCAGTGGTTAGCACCACTGTTAAACTTGGAAAAATATATTTTTTTAGAATGCTGTCTGATGGGGACACATCTCATCAGAATATTGTCATTGAAGTTAGCATGCACTGAATCCATTTATCTTGGTTCAGGTAATCAGCTTCTTAGTTCTAAAGGGCTTACTGGTTTCATCTTTGGATTTTTTTTTTTTTTTTAATGTAAAACAATGCTAGAGTAATTAAAGTATCCTTAAAGTCTCAGCACTCGCTGTCTGTCTCAGGCTAAAGCCATTACTGTTGTGGGCACGTGATCTGTATTTTTTCATTCTGAGTATTGACATTAAACAAGCAATCACTTCTTTTTCCTAAACTCCCCCATAATAACTTAACAGTGAATTTAATAAAAATATTGGTGTTTATCACACGACTATTAGAAGTGACATTGCTGGTATATTCCTAATGCCTGTCTAAAGTGAAGTTGTGTAGTGTGCCTTGACAACTAACACAGAAGCTGTTCTGAACCCCACAAAGTGAGGGGATGAGGAGTGAAATTCAGTCTTGAGTAACAAGAATGGATTTGATGGAGACAGAAAAGGGGCTGTATTTCCCTTTCATTTTCTGCTCCTGATAATCCCTCATGGATCATCCGATAAGCATTGCTGCACAACTTCACAGACTAAATCAATTAAAGACTGTAAGAGGAATTCTCTTAGTCTTTTATGTGGGCCAAGGTAGCTAAAGCTTACGCTCTTGTGATTTCAAGAAGTGAATAATCAGGTAAGTTTTACCATGTATTTGTGGCTTTTCTGGTCAGGCCATGGGAAACCTGAAGGAAACTGAATAATTATTTAGGAAATGCCTAGTTGTAAAATATACCAAATTAAATAAAGGCAGCCATTAAAATAACTACTATTCTAAGATTGTTCTGACTTTTTTTTTCCTATTTCTAATTGCAGCTTAATAGAAGAATTCAAAGGAATGCAGGTAAAGTGTTTTTTTTTAAAAAAAGAAGTGCTATAAATTACCTTATCCAAAGAGTCTTGACTTAATAGAAGTTGTCTTGGTTTTATGCCAAACTTTTTAGGATACTCACTTTTTTTTTTGTGGGGGGAACCACCCAGAAAACCCAAATATTTATAGTCATAAGGATTCCAAAATGTAGTTTAAGATGAGTAAATGCATTATAATTGATGTTGCTATCATCACAAGTTGACTAAAATAATCTCCCCTCATCAATTAAACAGACAGCTTCTTGTTGTATTTGTCAGTTTTGTCAGATGTTCATTGAATCTAAAAATTCCAACCTTGACTTACGTGTGTGTACAAGTGGAGAAATTGGAAGTTGCTACCTTTTTGAAATTAACTAGATAACACACATTTTAATAATATGCTTGCTTAAAAGAATCTCATGAAGTAGCATGATGAGCTATCAAAAACTTTAGCGGATTATTCTGTATAATGAATGAATCGGGATGCCTGCAGGAAAAAGTAGTGTATAGTTATTCCATTAGAGATCAAGTACTGTGATGGAAGTCAAATCAAGACTGCACACAGCAAAGTAATTCTGATACTACTTAGGGAGATGTACATCTGAAGTTTTTCTCACTGTTTTTAAAAAGGAGCTGGATGTTCCAATAAAATACATGTTTTTACTGAGATAAATGTTTGGGGGAAAATGTGATGTGTAGTACAACAAAGGTATGTTGGGCTTCCTTTTCTTAAGGTTTTGAAGTGGTTTTTTGGTGTTGCTTATTTTATGACATTCACCTGAGAAACTTTTATGCTGAACATATGAGGACAAAACACAACCTAGTGTGTCTCTCCTTCTACGATCCTATCAAAATCTTGTCCATACAGGATTCAGGTATAGACTTTGAATCAGCCTATGAAATTAAAATGAGCTGGGAAATAAGGGTCTGATAAAAGAAGATTCAGACGATCCAGACCCTTGACTCTAATTTTTAGAAAATATATGCAGTTGGATCTGAAAAGTACAAAAAATGACTGGCTATAATCTGCAGTAAAACTCAACAGGAAAGAGCATCTAGCAGTTAAGTTTTTTTAAGATACAGCATTTGAAGTTTTTTAGTAACTTTTTTTGTTAGTCTTTGTTTTGATCTAAGATCAGAATGCCTTAGAAGTTGAAGGATTTTATTTGGAGTTTCTTTAATGTGGTGAATTCTCATGCCCGTGCGCAGCCTGGTCTCATGTCGGTGACGGAGCCAATCTCAGGCGCCAGTGTGGTGTGCAGAAGGCGCTCGTTTATTAAGCCTCAGTGATACATATTTATCTTACTTTGTGTTCTGTACACGCGCCGAGCATGCATACTACGTTACGATTATAGGCTACTAATTAAATATGTTAGTTTGTGATTGGTGCTGCAGGCTGACCACTTGCTGTTCACGCGCCTTAGCGGATTGGCTGCTCTTTGCCCGAGTCCGTTGCCAGCTTCTTCCCTATATGTTGAACCATTGCTTTTTGTTTCCTTGTGTTGAACCATCACTTTTTGTTTCCTTGGTTGCCTTGGTGAGTCTTATCATAGGTCCTGATATGGCCGCTGGGCCACATAAACCCCCACACTTTAATGCTATGAAGGTTTGATCTAATTAACTTTAAATTTAGTGTATTGCACTACAAGTAAGGTAGAAAAGCAGAAAAATTGCCATCTTAAATATCTTTTCCAACTTTTAATATAACTTGAGCAGTCTTTAGTTATGCTTTAAGTTACCCTAGGGAATAAATATTTAACTAAATATTGAAGGTGGGGAGATAACACTAGTGTTAACAGCTTTTGTTATAAGGAAACCCCCACTTTTACAGATTTGTATTTATACATGTAAAAAACAAACCCAAACCCCAAAAAGGCCTCCAGGAAAAACCCAACCCAACAACAACAAAAAAAATGCCTTCTGTCTATGGATTATTAAAGTTAAGGTGCAAATTTTACCTTTTCTTATTTCATACTCTTAGTTGGACCTGATATGTGTTTTCAGCTAGGATACATAGTTCTGTGCTATTAAGTGTGAACAGTTAAAATATCTTTTTAAGACCCAAATAGTTAGTAATGAACCCCTTCTCTTGGTGTATAGGGGTGTTGTGTTATTTGTTCCAACTAACAATTCTTGATTTTGCTAGAATATATTTTCACTATTTGGATATAAACTCCAGTACCCCCATGAAGCTTTACTGAGTAAAGTGACAATCCTTTGAGTGTTTAGTTGTTGGGGGTTTTTTTATATATATGGCAGTTCTGAGTATGGGAGGACCAGGTATGTTAAATTTCAACCTCCAAGGTATTTCTGTCATATATTAGCCACTTAAAATGCGTTCTTTCCTTGATAAATCTTTTTGAAATAAAACACCCTCTGCAGTGTTTCACAGATCTTACTCAGTAAGGGATTTCAATGGGACATTACTGTATTATTCTGATTTCCTGTGTTCCCAATCCAGAAATGTTTGCAAAAAAAGCTTATTTAGCATTCTAAAAATTGCACTGCTAATATATTCTAAAGCAAGCAGTACTGTAGTTTTTTTGCAAAACAGTGAATGTAAATTTTCTGAGAAGGCTACAAGCTGAAGCCAGAGCCTCCTAGTCCTAGAACATGCTTCATTACCTTTATAGGAGAGAGTGGTTTTATAGCCCAGTTTCCTACCAGTTGGAAAACTGGTCTTAGAATAGTTATCAATGGTGTGTGTTCAGACTGAAGGGAAACATGAGGGATTTTTTCCAGAACTTCTGAGCAAACTACTAGCTTATGCTTTGAGTAAATAGGAGAAGGGAGGATACCCTTAATTACCTCACAGATGATACCAAGTAGGGATGACGACTGAAAGATAGTCTGATAAATTGGGGCTAAAACTCAATGTAAACTTTGTACACTTCATGCAGAGAATTTCAAAGTAATAGATTTACATAAGAATAATTAAATGCAGGAAGAGGCAATTTTGAAGGCTGTTTGAGCCAATCAAGAATATCACTGTTGAGAAAATAGTGCAGTTTGCTAGAAAATATACACAGGTGCAGAGTATGTAAAGCACACAGAACAGGTTTTCTGCACTGTTCAACAGTGATAAAACTTGTGGTGAAGTACTTTATTTTATATTTGATAGTAGCTTGACTAGCTGGAGTGAATCAGAAATGGAAAAAAAACTTACTAGAGCCTTTGGTGATAGGACTTAAATAGAGGGGGAGGGAAGAGCAAAAGAGAACCTCTAGGTTAAATATTAGAAAAGCTTTCCAAATGTAAACATAAGGAAGTGCTGAAATACGTTTCTTAGAGATTATGGAGTAGTTGTTAAGAATGAGTTAGACTTCTAGAGATGTTAGGTATAGTTGATCTTCCATTAAAATGGAAGAAAAAATAGATGACATCTTTAGGTTTCTTTCCATATGCTTTAAGCCTTTAGGAAACTGGAAATCTTTACATGTATGCTGGGCAGTATTAAATAATATGAAGTGCTTATAGGAGTAAATAATGCTGATGTGCCTGAGTTAGGTATGAGAAGTTTTCTCACTTTTTAACCAAAAAAAAGTAAATCACTTGTGATACTTGATAGCAATTTTTCTGGAAACAGAAATGCAGAAAAAAGCAAGGAGAACAAATTCTGCATTAAACAAACTTGTTTGACAGTCTTGTGTAGGGCAAACATGTCTGCTAAAGCACATTTATTATTATTTAAGTCTATCCCATGCATCCAGTCATGAGAAGTCCCACTACAACTTCAGCATCATCAGAGTCATTTGGAGCTATAGGTCTTCTCTTTTGAGATAAATTATAGAAATTTAATCTATGCAGTATTAACAGTAGATCCAGGCAATAATTTTTATATGCACATCACAGCCATATGCACTCTGTGCAGACTTGACAGGTTGTAGCTTGTTATAGATACCTTTTTTAAAACCTAACACGGCAATGCTTAGAAATGTAACTTTTTTTCAGTGATATCAAACCAGTTTTCAGTGTTTAATTTTAATAGCAACTATATCCAGCTTAGATGCTAATTGTAAAATAAGCTTAAGTGGAAGTCACATTTATTTGAAGGTAGCTACTTCTCTGTGGGTCTAATGTTTTGGATCTTATTTAAATCTGAGTTGTGATAGCTAATGAAGAATGAAATATAGATTAAATGTAAAAAGGCGAGATCTGTGCTACATTAGACAGCTCCTACACTCTATATTTCTTCAGCTTCTTATGAAATAAAAAGGGGGCAGGGGAAATCAACCCACAAAGATTGCCAATGGATCTATCTGAGGAAGACAGGTCTCAGTTTTGGAAGGCTCACTTACCAAAAATCATTAAAAAGATGCAATAGAGGTTTGGGGCTCTATCCTCAGGCTTCAGGAGTAGTTAGTCTTTTTCCTATCCTTTTCAAGATATGACAAGAAAGAAGGCACAAAGTTTGCAGTTGTCTTCCTTTTCTACAAGTGATACCACCTGGTAAAAGGGACAAATTTTATTTTCTGTGGTGCTTCATGGGTTAAGAAGAAAACATGTAATACGGTAGATGTATACCTCTGATCAGAATTACTCTGCTGTATTTGACTAGAATCTTGTTTTGTCACTTGTCAATTCTTTGTTTCAGTGCCCATTTGTTAAATGTTTGTGTTAAATAATTTTCAAAATAAAGAAGAGTGTATACAAATGAAAAATTCACGGACTCAGGAACAACATTGATCTGTGATCTATCAAAATTAAATAGAATTTTTTTTCCCCTCCCATTCATGCTAAGAAATGTCAACGCAACAGACCAGTGATTTTGAAGATGGACATTCGACATTACATCAGGTATGGGCACCACATTGCATTTACTTTTATGAAGCTTCTTTGGGAAAATATATTTATGTAGTTAAAAGCTAAGAAATTAATCATGAGCAGATGGACCTGTACTGTAGCTATAAAGCTATATTTTAAAGACCTACTAATTGCTTAAGGAGAATAAAGTGATTTGATTAAATAAGTACTTCTGAAAAAATTGAGGGCTTAAAGTATTTTGCTGTAGTTCTTTCACTGCAGTTCTTTAAACTTCAGGTATCTAATTAAACAATTGCTTTATCTTTCCACTCATGTAGTTCCCTGCATGTCGTTGCATTATTTTAGGAAAGATGTGTCTTTACTTAAGAGGTGGATGTTTGTGTAAAATTAAAATCTTCATGTTCTGGTTAATGTTGATCATCTAGTATAATTCCCCTGATTGTTTCCTCCTCCGATAGATTCTGTGGTAGGAGATGGTGATGAATTCAAGTTCTGGACTTGTATATATGGTGGTCTCATACATTTTGTGATAGTGGATTAATGCAATTTTTAAAAAATTACTATGACCCTATTCATATTGTTTATGTGGTAGGGTTTATGTATGTTTCATGTAATTACATATCTTCCCTCCCATTGTGATATGAGGGATATCAAATAACAGCCATGATACCAGCTATGGATTTCAGCTGAATTCTACTCTTTTAAGTTTATTTAAAGGGAGAGAGAGCAGTTGGATATAGGCTTTAAACCATCAAGTATCTTTTTAGTTAGGCAATACATGTGTCTACGTATTATTTGCAAAATCTGTGGTTCTCTAGAATAACTTCTTTTGACTCCTTATCTTTTTAAGGAGAAAATACTCAGCATTTGAAGAGTGATACGGACCATCTCACTGGTCACTCCTAATTAGTTGTTCTATGTAGATAGTAGTTAAATTGTCTCATTTTACTGATTGCATTTTAACTCGCAATACACTAATTTTATGATTGAACTAGACAGACTATATTTAGACCTTTTAAAAAGAATTTCTAAAGAATGTGATGTCAGATGCAGATTTTAAACATTTAGAAAAGGCTCTTTACTCTATAAATGAGCTTTTTATGCAACTATCAAGACTTCAACAAAATAGAGCAAAAAACCTATTTGAAATATTATATATAGTCTGAAATAGGCAATTAAGAATTCTTTAAAGAGGGAAGTTAAGAAACTTTCCTTATACATTGGAACACAGAGAAATCCCGAGTACATATTGATAAAGATTCAATGATTAGAATTCATCTGTCAACTGTGTGTTGCTCTTGTTGCATGATGACTTCTCCCGGCATTATTTATCTGAATATATAAGGGCTGGGAAGAAAATAGTTTTCTCCATTGAGTAATGAGATGTGAATCAAGACAAATTTGTGTACAGATTTGTTAATAAAGATGGTGTCATTTGGTCATAGTTTGGGGAATATGACTGGGTTTATTTTACCACCACCTCAAAAAATTGAACAAGTAATGACAGCAGGGAATTTTACAGACTAGTTAACCTAGCTTATGCTACCAGGTCTTAAATTCCTTTCATGTGCTTTTAAGGAATCTTCTGAAAACTCTTATGTGGATACATCTGACAGAGGTGGGTTTTTTAATCTACTTTTTAACTACCTTTTTTTTTTTTTATTTTTTGAAAAAGATTTCCAACTGACTTTTCTGTAATTTTCTAGTATAGGAAAAATAATTTTAATATGTTTTCTATACCCTTTCAGAAAGTAGATAATAGGAATAACAGGAGACTGAAGTACTAGTAGTACTATGAAAGCAATATCCACATTCCTCTTTAAATTGTCAGTCCTGAATCCCTGATTCATTGGAAAATCGATATGGAATATGTTCAATTGCCTTTTCTTAATAAAGAAAGGAACAGTGAAATCACAACTTTGGCACAAGTGGCAACAGAAGTTTTATTAATAACGACAATGTAAACATTAATTTCTAGTGGTCTGGTAAACACAGATATTGCATTCAGCTGCAACAGTAAGTCTTCAGTAGGGTTTGTAATAGTTTCAGCATCAGTCTTGTGACCTGTCTGCAGAATTTTGGATGGTATTGGCCTTGTATTCCTGAATAGTTATTTGATTGTATTAATTAGTGGTAGCAATCTTTGAATGGCTTTTTAAAATATTTAAAACTTGTATTACTCAAGATCTTTTCCTGTGCATATAAAAACTTACTATTTTGCATAAATTAAACTATGTCTAGGTGGTAACCAGCATTTAATGGTTAAAAGAGCAGTTACAGCAAAATGTAGTTAGCTGGTGTTTAAATACTCTGGTATAAATTAGGTGCTTCATACACATAGCTTTCTCCAAGGCATGTGATTACTTCTCTGTTGAGGGGAAAATAGAAAACAGCAATCTGAAACTTGTTCTATCATTTGAGAGGATAATTTGAAATATCTGTTTGAATGATAAAGTATTTTCTGCAGATTTAGAAAATGTGACTTCAAACTTTCTCAGCCTGCACAGTGAAACATAGGAAACAAATTTCAGAAGCATCTGTAGCTTAGATTCTTTAACTGTCCTTTGTGTCTTTTGCACTCATGGGATAAATCAGTGATGCAGTTCAGACTCTGGTATCTTCATAGCAACATACAATAATATGATTATCTACTCCTCCTGCATCTCCTGTGAATGTTCCAGAAAGAGACTGGAGAGGATTTATAGCAGCCTTGGTGAATCTCAGCTATCTCCAAATACAGTAAGACCTAGAAATTAGCTTCTTGGAGACATGGGATTGTATTCCTCACTTAAAAATGGAATTCACTTTGGTGTTTGTTTGTGGGTTGGTTTTTTTTTTTTTTTTTACATATATAGGTGGTTAGCAATGGCTAACTCTTAAGAAAAACATGTATCTTCAGCTGCTTTAGCTAAAACTTAAGCTTTGGCAGATTTTTTTCATTTGTAGTATTCCTACAGAATGTTTCACATTACTCAGTGATGGCAGTGTTTCTTCCAAGTATTACGTAGTGGTTTTGTTCTAAAAGTATGCAAAGCCTATCAACAGCAGGTACAAATAAAGTGAAAGAGCTGTCACCTGGACCTGCAAGTATTGGTCTTTCTGCTAAGAAAATTTAATATGTCACCTTCTTTGGTTTCACAGGAAGTAGCATGGCAAAGTATAGTGATATCTGAACAATTTCAGAGAATCATAGGATGGTTTGGGTTGGAAGGGACCTTAAAGACCTATCTAGTTCCAACCCCCCTGCCCCAGGCAGGGCCCCCTTCCCCCAGCCCAGGTTGCTCCCAGCCCCGTCCAGCCTGGCCTGGAACCCTTCCAGGGAGGGCGCAGCCACAGCTGCTCTGGGCACCCTGTGCCGGTGCCTCACCACCTTCACAGGAAAGAATTTCTTCCTTGTATCTAATCTAAATCTGCCCTCTGTCAGTTTAAAACTACTACTTTTCATTGTATCACTACACCCCCCTGATAAAGAGTCCCTCCCCATCTTTCCTGTAGGTCCACTTTAAGTACTGGAAGGCTGCAGTAAGGTCTCCCTGCAGCCTTCTATAGGCTCAACAACCCTTTAAGTGCAACCAACTAGCCATTTGCTTACCCACTGAGTGGTCCATCTGTGAAATCCATGTGTCTCCAGTTTAGAGACAAGGATATTGTGCTGGATAGCACTGGATGCTTTGCATAAGTCTGTGTAGATGACTTCCCTTATCCACCAATGCTGTAACCCCACCACAGAAGGCCACCAAATTTGTCAGGCACAATTTCCCCTTAGTTAACCCATGTTGGCTGTCACCAATCACTTTCTTTTCCATGTGCAATTCTTTGTATCTATTAGGATAGTATCACAAAAAGTGGATTTATTTTGGAGAGAAAGGGGAAAGTTCAATCTGAATTAAATATTTAACTAAGGGTATTTTAAGTTTTGATGATGACATCAAAGTCAAAACTTAACATTTACAGTCACCCCTTGTTCATCTCTTAAATAAGATACCTAAAAGATGCAGTAGCAGTGTATTGAGTGTATCTCCAATGAAATAACTTCTGTATTATAGGTCAAATTTTCCAGAGAGAAAGATGGGAGTTTTATTTTTTCCTCTCTTCTGTACTTGAAGAACAGATGTTTTCCAAATTTCCCTTTAGGCCTTTAAAAGCACTTTAAAGTTCCCTAGAGAAGATACTTCACATTTTTTCTGTTCAGTGCTGTGCCATGGTCCTCTGTTAATAATTAGTTTTCCAGTGTTTTGAAGTATGATTGATGATACGTTGAAGACATACTAAAGTTACACTTGTGTGAGGTTTCACACCTAGAAGAGTATTCAACTAATATATAGATCAATTCATTCTACGATACAAGCTATTTTCTAATAATTTGTGATTGGTGTGATGGAGTTGACCATTCCTGGATACTGGAGTTGTTACCTTTATCTCAAGAGCCTCCCATTTTATAGCAGTCTGGTCTGATCATCTCAGTGACCCAACATGGGACAAAGATATAACAGTCAGGGAAATTCAGAAATCAGGGCTTAGAATGCAGCCATGTTTTATGATCGTGAAAGACTGAGGCTTTAGCTAGTGATAAATTAGAAGGCCTGGCAACATCTAGCAAAAAAAGTTTTGTTACGTTTCATTCACAAAAATACTGATAGAATACCAAAAAATTGAGTTGAAAGACTTGGACTTGCTTTTTAATATTCTGAAGTCTGTCTTATTTCTCCCCCTGGCAGTTCCAATGCACTCTTGCCAATAACAAACTAAGAAAAGGTGTGGTGGAAGGTCCTTACTATCTTTGCTGGTATATTTAGGTGTGTAGCTGAAAGTAAGTGGGAATGATACATTAATGAATAGTGAATCTTGCAGAGCAATGCTTTGGAAATATTCTGCTTTCTGAAATGGTTAGCATAAATCTTGATGAATTGGCTATAAACAAGTTATCCTCATTCTTCTTGTTACCCTCAAGTCATTTATGATCTATAAACTATGCTTTTCAATTGGACTTGAAATGGAAATGTAATACAGATAAAAATTTTAGTGTAGAAAATAATTTTCTAAAATTAAACCAGTTCAGTCAATAAGTTATACAGTGTGTGTTTAAAAACTTCTGGTTTGAGTTCAACTAGATCTTATTTAGTATTTATCTCTTCAAATTGTAGATGAAGAAAGTGATGACGATATAGTTTCAGTAAGAAGAAAATTTGAAAACATTCACTTCCAGGTAAAAATTTCTGGTGTCTAATGTTATGGAATAATTTTGTGTTCAGTAGGAATGATTGAACTCTTTGAATAGCTTACAGGTGCCTGGTGAGTTGATAGAGTCTTTTGCTGACTGCACGTAGTCTGTGTCTTAATGCACATTTTTAGTAAGTATAGCGAATGAGAGGTTCAATAAATAATGTCATGAATATCAATATGAAGTAATATTATGTCTTGGTAGTATTATTATTATTATACCAGAGGAAACCACACAATATATCTCATAGAACAGGTGGTCCTGAAAAAGGCTATTATTGGTATGGAAAAAGAACAACCAGATGATAACAAAGTCAAAACACTTACAGAAGTATGATCATTCACCTGAGAGTGTAGCGTAAACAGGTAACGTGATTAAAAAAAAAAAAATCTGAAATAATGGCTACCATAACAAAAGCAGACTGGAATCTTCTGCTGTTTTTTCCCAAATTAGCCTGTGGGTATCAGGACTACCCAGAATAGTTACTGATGAAGAAAAGTACATTTCAAGCTTTGTGTGCGCAGCCATTCTAATCCTGTGTTCGGCTTGCTGAAATGCCATTACCAAAATTTTATTTTACTTTGCTTATTTGTTTAGCATAGTGCTAGGCATTGTCATGGCTCTGACAACAGCTAATACAAACTGCTTCAGAAAGTGAGAGTTTCACTAATGAACAATTTTTACTACTTATCACCAAGTGCTTTTAGATTTCACAGAGGTGTGTTACAGTGTAGACCTTAATGTCTACCTGTAGATCTCAATGGGATGTTAATTATACATGTAAAGATTTGCAGCTGTAATTACTAGTGCTTTGTAACCTAACACAGGGAATTTTTGTTTGGTCAGTGGGTCTTCAGAGGCAGTGTGTTCTTTTCCCTGCATCAGTAAACTAGCTAGTTATTTAATGTGTCTTCAATTACAGTTCCTTCTCAGGTGGTTTTTTTTTGACATAAAATGTATATATTAAAATAAGTTTATGTTGGTTGGAGGTCTTCATTTGAGTAAGACTAGCTTGAAATAAGTCTAAGTAATGTATTTGGGCTTGTGAGTGTTAATAAACTCCATGTTTTAATTAATTATTTTTTTTCTCCACTCTAAGCACATGTATGTAGATAATGGGAAAATTCAAGAGAAAAGAAAAGTTCAAGTGGATGTGATAGTACAAGAAGATGCTAGAAACATTCCCAAGTGGATTACGGTAACATATTTCTCCTGTTCTGTTATAAGGTATTAACCAATTAGAATAAAATAAGAACTCTCTATCTATGCAGCACAATGAATTCTAATACAACTTCTCTGCTGTTCCATCTTTGTTCCTCTCCTGCTTGCTCTCCACAAATATCACAATATCTCAGGTCTCTGAAAGCAATGATTTGTAAGAAAGAGAGCAGACAATATCCAAATATTTCTTTTTTAATTTTTTTTTATATATACTTTGTGCTTTGAAGCCTGATGCGTGGGTTGATCTTCAGTAAGTTTTCTGAAAAGCCTAAATTTGACCTTTGTAGAGGAAAAAAAGGAGTTTTAGCTTTATTTTGGTTTTGGGATGAGGGGTGCTAGGACTAAGGGTTATGTTACATGGTACAGCTTCTGTTTCCTACTGGAGCTGCCAGAGAAGTATAAATTATCCAGGTGTGTATATATCCATGTATAAATTATCATATTTGGGAAAGGCATTAAAATAAGATACATAATGTATAAGTCGCAAAGATGATGAATAGCTTTCCAAGATTACACTGGTAACTCTTGGAAATTCTTATTGAAGTTTTAGACTAGACTTTTTCCTCCTTGTCTGAAATTTACTAAGACCCTTAGGACCATAACTATACATAACCTAATATAGTAAAGAGAGAGTAGGAGGAGTCACAAAGAATGTTTTGATGTTACCTTTAATGTGCAAAAAAATCAGGATATTATATTTTGTGTCTTTTTTTTCTTTGTTTTTCAGATAGCACCTGAAGGTTTGTCAGAAGGTCTTCATTTAGCTTCATCAGTGCAAGAACTGATTGGTGTAACTGAATCTTTTTGGGTGTTGATCAAATATATTAGAAAATGTGTTTTTATTAAAATTTAATAGAAATAAATATTCAGTGTATTGAAAACAAAGAGGCATTATTTATTCAACAAAGTTCAACAAGCTGGATCCTTGAAAAGCTAGACATTATTTTGCTTATGGCAAAATGTACTTGAAAAATAGACAATAAATAACCTATATACATAAAACCAGCTTTTCTTAAATAGCCCCAGGAAAAGAATGCATAGTTACAAAATTCAGCAGCATTAAGCTTAATTAAATGAAAGCATAACTTTTTCATTCTGCTTATTTTAAATTCAAGGAATGTAATGAATTGCTTCAAGCCTGCTGGTAGTGGATACTCAAAGCAGTACTTCGCTAGTAAACTTTCTTCATAAGCTCTTCAGACTTGATGCAAACCTAAGATAGAATTTTGGTGTAAATATTTCAAGCCTAATGACTACAAAAAGAATTCCCTTCATCATGCTTTACAGCACGCAAAGTTACACTGGTACTAGCCAAGTACAAAGCTTTCGAGTAATATGGAAATAAAGTAATAAAGCCTGTAGGATAAGGCTGTTCCTCCTGTTCAGAAATCACAAAGAGCAAAGCAGTCTGTCTCTACAGTAAAAGTATTTTTATATCTATGTATTAAGCTATATGAAAATAGGGGCTTTTTCCAATACATTTCACTTCTGTCTTCTATATTCTGTTAATTCAATATGGTTAGGGAAATCCTTTTAACTTTTTCCTAATGGATTGTATGTTAATCATCTGTTTAGCCTGTCAAAAAAGCTTTATGAAATATGCTATTGCAGTATGACTATCTGTACTGCATGCAGTTGTTTCAAAGTCATGTAATATATTACTGGAAGTGACCTAATAGGTTGTGTTGGGTTTTTTTTTTGTTGTTTTTTGGTTTTTTTTTTTTTGTTAACTCATTTGTTTTCTTGAATAGGCAACCAAGCTGCTGTTTGCAGAAAGAAAATAGAGTTGTCTAAAGAATGTTCATCTAGACCTCTACAGTTACAACTTTCTGGTGCTCCCACTTCACCAAATACCATAACCATACCCAGGCATCAACATTCTTTGGAACTGAATGAAACTTGCTGTGATAGAATCTTGGAAGAATACCAGTCTGCAGATGAGGAATGTTCCTGGAGCAATGTAACTCTTGTAGACTTGTATCCAGCAATGTTAGAGACACTTATAAGGTTCATGACAAAGCAGTCTCAGAGAAAACACTTAAAATACATGTTTAGACTCTTAAGGCTCAAAAGAAGGTATTCTGGAAAACGAGAGTTCAGTGTCACTGTAGGCAAAAACAGAGGGTTCAGACCTCTTAAACTGAAGAAAGCACTACCTAGCATATGCAGCCGCAGAAGTGAAGACATCGAGAATCAAACTTTTGGAAATGAGAACAGAGAACTTTGTGATGACAGGTGTTCCCTTAACAATTCATCTGGTCTGGTACCTTATTCTTACACTGATACCAGTGAAAACAGAATGGACTACTCTGACTCAAGTTTAGAACGTTATTTGGTATCTGGAAAAGGCCAGAAAGTCTCCAAACAGACTGTTTCTCCTAATGTTATGTCTAGAATAGGAGAGCAGACAACTTTCTCACTCAATAATTTAAAATGCAAAGAAAGTGAAAAATTGTCTTACCAATGCTCCTCGAGATACTCTTTTACACCTGCTGCCAGTTCAGGGTCAAAAGCACTTCATCTGGTAAAAGAGAGTAAAACTCAAACAAGGGATATTTTTGGTGGTGATACCTCAGAGTTATGTTCATCTACTTCCAGTTCCTATGACAATAGTAACACTTCTACACCGGTCGCAAACTGTTCTCGTGCAAGAGCATCAAGTACTTTGCTTATAAATCCTGAAAAAATAATTTCTGAAAGAGGAATTTCTTTCCAGCATAAACACTCATTTTCCTCATTGTCTGTGAAGCAGAGTCCTTCAAAGATGCCCGAGAAATACAAAGATGAATTTGAAGAACTCTACTACAAACTGTGTTCCCAAGAAATCCAAAAGCCTTTGATATTTACAAGACCTCGTTCAAATTCACAGAACTTTGAAGAGAAAGGAAGATTAATGAAGCGTAATTTAAGTGATTCTGTGAGGACTGATAAACATTATGATAGAGAATTTGACAGGATCTATGAGCAATTGTGTAGTGAGGCTGTTCCAAAATCTCCTGGCTTTCAGAGAGCTTCAAATTTAAGGAAATATGGAGGAATACAAATGTCTGAAACTGTGAATGCTCTTGTTAACTCACCTGGCAGAAGTTTATCTACAATTCCTAGAGTTAAAAGACAAGGAAATTTTCAAAATGATCTCCTTAGTTCACCACTAAAGCGACAGAAAAATATACCAGAACGTAATTTTCCTTCAACAGAATGTCAACAGATTTCTCACAGAAAAATCCTCAATCTTCAGACAGCTGGCATGGATTTTTTGAGCATACACAATGGCAGTAACCCCAGTGTTTCTGACAGTTACATCTGCATCTGTGGGAGACAGGTACTTAAGGACCTTGTAAAAAAATTACTGTGCAATCTTTGCTGATATTTGGAGAAGGGCTTAAAAAAATGGATTGGAGCTGGAAGCTGTTTATACTAGTGACTGCATACTACTGGTGCTATTTGGTCAGTAGGGTTGTTTTACGGGTTTGGGGGATTTTTGTTTGTGAAAATGTAAGTTGTATCAGGTCTCCTGGACCATGTAAGGAAGTTCACTATATTTAATAACCTTGATGGTTATAAAATGCTCAATAAAAAATTTTGTTATATTTTAATAGACTGTCACTGATTAAAATAATCTCAAACAGTGACTCTGGTAATTAAGGTACTGTCCTTCTGAAATTGTCATATAGATGGACAAGGTGAGACTAGCTTTACTGGGTTCCATTGGAATTATTAGATTTGTCAATTTAAATATTAAATTAGGCCCTTATTTCCAGGTTCCAAGTCATTTCTTCTGAGGCAAGCCTTAAAATAATGTGAGTTTCTCCATTGATGTAATCTGTTGATGATTTGTTTTCAGGACTCTGGATTTCATCCTTCTTCAGATAAAACTTCTCTTGGTATTCCTGGTGATTCCCTACAAGGTTAGTTCCAGAGACTTTATAAATTACTACTCTAGAAATCACAAGCACTTCAAAGAGTAAATCTACAGATCTCAATAGACCACTGTGTAGGTGACAGCTCTTCTTAATAATGTGGTATGTTTGTGTTCCTTTAAATAAGGAACCTATACAGAAAAAAGTTTCCTGAATCACATATTAACAGCTATTTAAAAAGCTTTTCTTTAGGTTAACTAGGACTTTTCCTACTAAAGTGTTGCTTATTATCTGCTCGGTTTCTCTTTTCCTTTTTTAAATTTTCTTTAAGGTTTGCTGTTGCTTTTACTTTCTGTATCTAAATGTTCAGCAGGAAATGCATAGTCTATTAGTCCTACATTTGCATAACCAAATGCTTTGGTCTGGATTCTTCAGCTTTACAAAAACTTGCAATTAAGTTGTTGCATGGCTACTGTCACTTAGAATCGTAGAACAGTTTTGGTTGGACTGAACCTTAGAAGACCATCTAATCCTACCCCCCCTGCCACGGGCAGGGACACCTTCCCCCAGCCCAGGGTGCTCCCAGCCCCGTCCAACCCGGCCTTGAACCCTTCCAGGGAGGGGGCAGCCACAGCTGCTCTGGGCACCCTGGGCCAGTGCCTCACCACCTTCACAGGGAAGAAATAGCCTCACATGCTTAGATGAATTAGATTATTTATCTGGATAAAAGATGTTTGCCAATTCAGAACAGTAGAATTATTAAAATAAACCCAACTCTAAAACTACTTTAAGATTTTACATGATAATATTTAAATTAACATTTAAAATTCTGAGTTTGGTTAAAGCATGTTTATATCACAACCTGAACTTTTTTTCTGCTTAGTATAATCACTAATGTTTATTTGCCACATTTTATTTTTATGAACCTTACCATCAAGACAATAATTAACATGTAAAGGAAAATACTGAAGATGGTGACTTGAAATATTGTCAACTGGTATACAAGAAGAAAATGGCAGAAGAAATGCACTTTTTCACGTGGTTGTTGCCTTGCTGAATTTTCATTATCGATTAATTACAAAGAATTTGTTTGAGGTGGACTTAGCCCATCTGTCTTATTTTCTCTTCCTCAAATTTTAACTCTTATTTCATTTTACACAGTTTTTTTCTGGTATCAACAGTTTCTTCTACTTCTACCTTGTTCTAATGGTGATAAATTATAATCAGTTTGAAAAAACCTATCTTATACTTAATATATTCTGTGTATAAAATGCATTTGAAATTAAATTTTGCCAGAACCTTTTGCATTAGAATATTTTCATAAGGAAATTTGCTCTTTGAAGTATGCCAATGAAATATTACCAATGTCTTAATAGGCTAATATTTCAACAACATACTGCAATGTCCGTGCTACTCAGCATTTTTCTTACACTTTTCATACTACTGTGTTTCATCACCAGAAACTGGGATTGCAGATGCCCACTGTGGTGGGGCAAGGGCAGTGAAAAATTACAGCTGTCAAGGAGATGCACTGAGGCATCACAAAATGTAAGTTCCTTTTGAGAGAAGAAATTTCAAAATAAATTCTTGCTGTTCTACATCTGTATTAAAGGTATGGAAGTTGTTGCTGTCATGTACTTATAGAATGAAAATTGGCATGGATGCTTGGGAGAGCCCAAGTTAATCAAACCTGCAGGCTTGAATGCTGGGAGGCAAGTGTCTGGACAAAACTAGCCAGGCTCCAGCATGGATGGCCAGTGAACACAAGTTAGTAAGATAGCCTAACTGCATAGATACTCCTTATTTTGTGTTCGTTATAAAGACACTTATTATTTTAGATAAAACTATAGAAATTATTTGATTCTGGCTGTGTGTTTGAGCTAACAAGGCCTCACAGATCCTTACGCTGTGGCGAGGGCAGTATGTTGCCATTTAAAAGGAATTTCAAAAGTTAGCTTCTCTGCAGTTAGGTATAGTTACCTGCATTTTGGCTCTCTGTAAAGGAGCACTGGCTCTGTTTGGAAGATAACCGAGATCCTCTCTTCCTGCTGTTATCACTATTGGCAGTTTATTTAGATCTCTGGAAGGAGAACCCTCCTTCCAGCTCCCTGGATGCTGGCCTAGTACATCTGCTTTTCTTAGAAAATATGTGACTTTTAAAGGATTCTTAAGTTTTAAATATCTTGGATTTTTAATTACAAACTAATAGGCAGCAGGATTAAAAATCATTAGAAATTCTCTAACCAGTTTCTCATTTCCAAAACATTTTTTTACATGTTGTTTTTTTTTTTTTTTTTTCCAAAAAGTCTAATTTGGCACCACAAGATATGCTGCCTTACCAAAATCAGTCAAGAAATATTTTCACTATGCTTAAAATGATCACACAGCTAATATCAAAATTTTCTGACAATGTTGGAATTAAAACTTCAAAGGAAGCGTGAATGCATTTTTAAACTACTTGTATGGAGAACTTAACCAGAAAAGAGGCCACATGATTTAAAGAAAAAAGTTGCAGTTTAAGCAAATATGGAATTAGAACTTAGAGGCTTGTATTAAAAATAAATAATAATATTGCTAAAGATTGTATTCTGATTATTTTTTTATACAATGGAAGATTGGAGGCAAGCTGATGAGTATATGAGGATGTTTCTATTATGTTGAGTATGCCCACTTAGTTGAGTAAATTTTTGCTCAGTTTTTGGATTTCCTTTTTCCTCATTTCCTTTTTCCTCACCTCTCTTTTTCCTGACTCCATACAAAACAGTCCTCCATATGAGATTAGTAATTTTTCTGAAGGAAAAGCTTTTAATTTCTTTAAGTAAAGTTTGAGAAAGTTGGAAATCAGGCTTTCACAGAGTACTTTCTTGCCAAGCCATCTGGAATAAAATCTATTTCTTTGCTCCTTAATTACACAAATGCATGTTTGTTGATTTGTAGACAAAATGGACTGTCAGCTGGCAAGTCTCCTTAGGCCTGTGGTGTGATATTCTTAGCCTTCTATGGTTCCCAGGAGTGAAGCTCTTCTTTAATGGCTTCAGAGCCCTCAGAAGTTTTATGCCTAAGGCATGTGGCAAAATGCTGTATGTTGTAATAAATGGCTGTGGAAAAGAAAGGAATATTGTCTTCCTGTCTGCAACTTGATTGCCTTTATCTAGAAGATGATTATGAAAGAGGTATTTCAGAAAAGGAAATGTTTATAACTAATAAACTTTTCTTCAGCTCTGTGTGAATGCTATACAGCTATACTGCTATACTTGTCAGATGTAATATGCAAGGAAATAATTGTATTCTCACTTGTTTCTTTCATGTTTTAGTTATTTGTGAATACATTCAAATATTACATCTCAATGTTTAATAGATATTTATACAATTTAGGTTAGTGTAATAGCAATACTGAGACATTAAAATGACATAGGATGAAAAGTTTACTCTCCAGCTGAAAGCACATAGGAATGCAGACAAGGAGTCCTGCTGCTGTTCACAGTTGAGATGTTCAGATATCTTGCTTCTGCAGTTTTTTTCAATTTCATTGTGTTCATCGGAGTTTCAGCAAGCATAGTATTTTTGTCATTTACTTTCTCGTCTAAACAATTCCTTTCTATAGGGTATCCAGAAAACTATACTACACTGATGGGAAAGATTAAAATCCTAGCAATCCCTTGAATAACTTCCTGATCAAAACTCAGCAAGGAGCATTCATGAACTGCTACAGAGAAAACACTGGTTTATGAAGTTTGTTTTTTTGTTCTTCCTTCTTCCAAGAGTAAAGGTTTAGTTATATGTATGTAATATACAGTTAGTCTTGATTTAGACTTCCCTGTAATACAAATCTTCATGAACTGGTTTGTCCTTTCTGACAAGGCACTTATTACTCCTTTGGCTTCATCAGGTATTGTGGGGAATCAGGCTTCCTTTCTATAGCTAAATTTAAGTTAGGTATTCAGTAGTGTCTAGTAACAGAATGTGAGCTGTATTCTTATCTGCTAATAAACTTTGATTCCTAACATATTAATCATAAGTAGCAACATCTTTCAGCTGAGTTCCTGCCTGTTCATGCTTTACAGATGTATCAGTTACTACATGAGTGTAGTAACAAACTGGGCTGGATAATCCAAATGCTGGATTATATGCTATGACTTTTAACATGCCAACTATGTAACCTTGATTTTAAATTTTCTAAGTAGCTTGTCAAAGGTGATTGTTCAATAAAGCATTATAATTTTTAGTGATAGTTATATTCAGTGCTTTGACAAAATTCTACCTGTTACAATATACGTTCTAAATTAAAAACCTGTTTGGAACAAAACATGCTTTCAGCATTTTATTTCAGGTATGTGAGTTCTCAGAATCAGTTTCTATACTGTGTCGGGTTTGTGTGTGGCATGTTTTTGGCAGTAGGGGAGGGAGCTACAGCTGTGGCCCCTGTGAGAAGATTCTTGAAGCTCCCTCGGCTCCAAGTCAGACCCACCTCTGGCCAGAGCTGAGCCAATTGGCAATGGTGGCTGTGCCTCTGTGAGAATGTATTTAAGAAGGGGAACCTGGGAGGAGGAGGGTTGTGAGGGAAATACCGATGTAAACACCAAGGTCAGTGGAAGAAAGAAGGGGTATGGGGAGGTAGACCAGAGCAGAGACTGCCCTGCAGCTTGTGATGAGAGGGCAGGTTGCCCCCCTGCAGCCTATGGAGGTTCATGGTGGAGCAGATGCCCCCCCTGCAGCCCCTGGAGGACCCCCATGCAAAAGCAAGTGTCTGCACACAAGGAAGGCTGGGACTGTGGGAAGCCCATGCTGGAGCAGTTTGTTGCTTGGAGGTTTGCAACCTGTGGAAAGGACCCACGCTGGAGCATGTCGTGAAGAGCTGCATCCTGTGGGAAGGACTCGTGTCTGAGAAAGTTCATGGAGGACTGTCGTCTGTGGGAGGGACCCCACACTGGAGCAGCAAAAGAGTGTGAGGAGTCCTCCCCCAGAGGAGGAAGTAGCAGCAGAAACAACGGTGATGGACTGAGGGCAACCCCCACTTCCCGTCCCCTCCGTGCTGCTGCAAGTAAGAAGGACAAGAAATTAGGAGCAAAGCTGGGTCTGGGAAGAATGGAGGGGTGGTAGGAAGTTGTTTTTAAGATGTTTTATTTCTCACGGTCCTACTCTGATTGGAGAATTAAGTGGTGGTGTTCAAATTAAATTGATGTTCTTTTTCTTCCCTTATGGAGTCTGTCTTTTGCTTGTGACCGTAATGGGTGAGCCACCCCTCCCTGTCCTTATCTCGATTCTGGAGACTTTGGGTTTTTTTTCTCATCCCTGAGGGGGAAGGAATGAGCGAGCAGCTGTGTGGTGCTCAGTTGCCCTTTGGGCTTAAACCACAACATATACATCCAGCAAACACATGAGAGTGATGTGGCAGGGTCCCCCAGGTTTTCATTGCTGTGTCTTTTCTTGGCAAGGAGATTGTTTTAGCAGTAAGTATCGGGTCAAGTACACTGTTTTATTGGCATTTCCCATTTTCAGCTTTCTGAGCTCCAGAAAAGGAAAAAATCATTTTCCTTTGCCTTTACTCCATTCCTCAGCATACAAGTGTGTTTTATGTAATTTTAGCTCTTAAAACCAAGATCTTGTTATCTTAACTGTTCTTGAATTGAAGAAGAAGCTGACTTCAGTGAGGTTTACTCTGCAACAAGACAAGAACTTCTGCCCTATACACACACATTCTATCCCTTTTAATTTGTATATTAAGTTTCCTTCAACAACAGCAACAACAAAATATTGTCTTTTAAAAATGCTTTTGTGGCTCATTTTTCTTCCTGTTGCGGACATGGATGAACTGTAGGGAATACACTTAATGAATTACCTTCCTCCATGGATTTGTTGAGGTAATTATTTCCTAGCATTTATTTCTTGATACATCAGTACTGAGAGATTATATAACTCCATTTTCTATTCTAAAGTAACTTAAAGGTAAACTGGAGCTGTGTTTTGGACATGTTTTGGCTCTAGATATGACTCCACAGCAACCTGAATGGAGGCTTACCCATGTAGGAAGGTAAGTTTATTTAAACAACATAGCAATAATTCATTTTCTCTGTGAAAATTACTTCAAAAGAATTTTAAGTAGTAGTTCTTGGAAAAACCTTGGGGTATTTGAAGATAAGCTCATACCAGTGCCACCTCTTTGGTGCTAGCAAATGGGAGAAAGTGCACAATTATTTTTAGAGTTTGATCCCCCCAATATCCACTTGAGTCAGCAGACTCTTAAAAGTATGATACAAGCAAGCATCTGTGTTGTTTTTCCTAACAATACCATTTAAGCAGATGCATCTGCAGTGATTCCCAGGTGCTATAATAACTACTGGAGTACACCTGTCTTAGACTTACAAAGATTTCATGGTGCTACTCGATCTCTCTTCTGTTTTCAGTTGCGTTCTTCTTCCCTTCCAAACAGTTTTTCTTCTTCCACCATATTTCCTCTTGTTTACTATTTCCTCTCTTTCCATTGAACTGATACTTAAATGCTAAGCTTACTGATAAAAACAGCTTCATGCTGTTTCCCTCTGTTTCAAAATTTTTGTAAAGAATACTTGAAAAAACAGGCTAAGTTACTAAGACAGTATAAACCTAGACCTAGCATCTCCTTTTCTTATTTTGTTTCAATTAGTTGAAACTTTCTTTATACATAAAGAATGTAATTAATATATGAAAGTTTTTGTTGATCTTTCTCTAATAGCTTGAAGATGGAGCTATATTGAACATTTTCTTTCATGTAAGAATTCAGTAGTCATTTAAAAACTATCCTAAGTCATCACTAAAAAAAAATAGGTCGTTCAGTTGCTTATTTAAGCAGACTGAGGGTAAAGAGCTGAAGGAATAAAGATAAATCTGGACTCTGGCAGCATTAGAAGTGCCTCAGAAACAATTGATAGGCCATTAAAGATGATCCTGAAGTGGAGCCTGTGAGAGCAGCAGTGAATAATTTAACTGAAGCAGTGATTAAATGTGGAAAGGAAATATATATTGAGGGAGAATATTTACCGAAGTGCCCTGCTCTTTTAGCAAGTGTTGCAAAGGAAAGCAGCTGCTGAAAATTGACATAAACAATGAAGACTAAGAACATAGAGCAAACTAGATGTACCTAAATCCCACGAGGTGCACTTATTGTTACATGTACACTCAATGAGAGAAGTGTGCACTTCTATTAAATTAATGATCAGGCTGAAATGACAAGGTTGAATTTGGGTAACTCACAGAAGTTCTTTGACTTTAGAATTTTCAGAGAAAAGGCATAATCAAGAGTGCAAATGCCATGAGAAAACTAGGAAATAGCAAGTTTTGTACAACGTGTACACAAATTGTATTAAATGAAAATACAGCATCCGTTATGGTATGTGTATGTTGGAAAATAGCAACAAATGGACTCTTGGACCTGTGTATATTTGCTTGAGGGACTGTTTAAAAAAGCTTTCTCTCTTAATCATCTCAGAGGGCTGAGTATTATATCTGATTGGTGCCATCTAAATTGAAATATTTTATATAAATATTTTGTATATTAATGTTATTCAAACAATTTTGATCTGTGAGTAAGCAAGAGTATGTTGATATGTTGTTTATTACTTATTTTGTTCCTACTGTGGAATAAAGTCTAATTCCTTCCAATCTAATCAAATCAGGTTAGTAATTCATGCGCTGATATATTGGTGTTTAGCTTTGGATCTTTGGCTTTGGATTTGCCTTCCTCTTTTCCCTCCTTAGGATCTTAGTCAGGATCATTGTTTAATATGGTTCTCCATTAAAGTGATTTTTATCAATTCTTCAACAGTATTTACTTTTATTTATCCAGTGGTAGTTGGCCTAAGACCATGATAACACAGTCACTAATTCCAAGTCTCTCTTGTTTCTGGGGTGTAAAAGACAAACATATATTGACTTGATTTCTGCACACAAAAGTAAGTTCTAATACAAGACAAGCAGTGACACTGGGCAGCTTTTGTTGCAGGGCTTGGCCCCTTCCTTTTGGCCTAGCATAGAAGTTAAGGCATGTTAAAGAGGCTTGTTAATAATGAGCTAAATTAGACATGAACCAGGCTGTCAAAGAATTGTTTCTTTTACAATGATATTTTTTTTTTCTACATAAATTCATCCCATCTGTGGGCGATTCCCATCCACTTCTGCTTTTGGAAGAGGTGTTGGCACTTTGTACTATGGGGTTTTTGTTTGTTTTGTTTCTTATTACTGCTTTCAGTGCTATCTCCTTCAGGACCTGAAACCTTTGCAGGGCTCTGTATGTGCTTGAGAGTTTCAAGACCCTTGACACTATGATCTGCGTGGATTTTAAAGGCGCTCGTACCCTTTTTTTGAGAAGGCAGAACCGACACCTAGAGGTACACATATTACATCAACATGCCTTACTGTTTCCTGCTACTACTACTTAATGACTCCCAGGATACAAAAATAAGTCCCCACTCTATAAAAGCTTACCATCTGATGAGCTTAAAGTGTTAAGATGAATGTGCACACAGTATGTGAATTATTTGGGGAAATAAAAAGTTCTCTCTACTTTTGTAAAATAGTTTGTAACAATGGCCATGTAAAACCCAATAGGAATTTAAACATCACATAGAATATTGGAAAAAATCCTCCCTAGGAGATTTATTGTTACAGATCATTTGCTAGTATCTTTTTGGACTCTTGAATACGGCTGGATACAACATTATGTTAGTAGAAGAGTTGAGATTTAAGATGTATTCTGGTATTGCTCACAGAAGGAAACTACAGATATATAAGGATATTGTTAAATCTTGTGAGACATACAATTATACTTTGAACAAGCTGTTAAATTATTCTCCAATTAGCTTTAGATTCATTGTGTTATTACTAGAAACCAGTCACAGTGGGAAAGTACACAGTGTTGAACAGCAGATCAGTTTTTAGATGGGAAAACAACTAAATCATTAATTCTGCAAGTATAAAATACAATTTCCTTCTGAAAGTATTGTTAAAGCCTATATAAAAGAATAGTTATACTCTGCTAGAGCTCTACAGACACCAGAGTGAGTCTTTTGGCACTGTTTGAAAGTTGATGGTTGTATTAAACAAAGGATTAATTTTTACTGGAATCAATGCCATGTGAATGCTGAGATGCCAGCTTCTACAACTCCCTTTCAAAATGTCTTCAGAAGGGCAGGTCCTTCAAAGTGGCAGTCTGGATCTATATTTATTTCTTGCTTAGTCCATAAATATGGTTCAATGACACTTTAGAAAACTTATCCATTTTATAGCACTGTTTGGTATATTAGTTTGCCAGGATATTATCTCTAATCATTCACTGTTCCTCCAGAATGAGCAAGTAGATCTCAATTTTCGATTACATATTTGGTTCATGAAGCCACTTCAAATGTCCTCTCCTTTTGTAGTATGAATCAAACTCATTAATCTGATGGGATCATCATGAATGGCTTCTATGTTTGCCGTGCTTTCAGCAGCCAGCTGCTCGCTATTGAGGTAAATACTGACTTTGGAAGCCATCATGGTGGGGTTAGGAGATCTTTCTTCTCCATCCTCCTCTAATGAAGGGTCTTTCTTTCTCCTTGGTTTTCTGCGTTTTCCCTTGGCACTGTGATCAAGTGAGGCATAACACATCTGATTGGCAGGCTCCACCTAGAAGGAAATTCACTTTAATATTCAGTAGTTATGCTTGCTTTAAAATTATATCTAAGATTTTAAGTATGCTTACACTGTAACCATAATAGTGACTGAAGTTTACCCAAACTAGCTGTAAATGAACTCATTAGAAGTAAAAATTATGAAGTTGTGTCAGCATAAAAAAACAGACCAACATAACCTGATGGTAAATGACGCATGTTTTTAGGATAGTGGCAGTAAGGAAAAATTCATCAAAGTAGTATTGGAAAGATTCACTTTGGGAATGAGGGTAGCTTATATAATCAATTCAAGTTCTTTGGGATGTAAGACATTATTTGATCTGGTTTTCTTCACACTTTTTTTTTGTAATTAGAATCTAGTTATGAGCAACATTTTTCACAGGCTTTGTCTGTGCAGAAAACCAAAGAAGGGTGATTCTTGTCTGTATGTATGATCTCATTTCTCGTACAAAACATATGCTTTCTGTGTCTTTCCCCTGCTTCTCTCTGTGTTTTTCCAACCAAATTGTCAAGCACATATGACACTGGAATTTTCATAGATTATTCTCTTTCTGTGAAGTTAATGAAAACAAATGCCTAGATTTAAAAAGGATAATTCTACTCCCTGGACATATTCTGAGAGAGAGGCTGGAAATCAGTCCTTATGAAATACCTGGAAATCAACTCAGGAAATTGATGCTAGGAATGCTTCAATTACAGACAAATTTCAGTTGAAGCTTGCATGGTTTTAGGCTTCCAGGTATCTCAACAAAATACAAATCAACAGAAGAACAATGTTCTTTAATTTGTTAAGGTATATAAATTTTGTGCTGGGCAGGAGAAAGCCAGTCAAGTTCATGATTATCATGTGATGCAGCTTGTGTTTTCACTTGGTTGATGGCCAAAATAAATAAAATTAATTCTTTACGTAAGTCATGGCAGTAGATGCAGGCTTAATTCAGCCTGATCTGCATGCCTGAAACTGAGCTTGATCATGCCATATGGATGAAAATAAGCTGTCTGTAATTATCCTGCTCCCTCATTAATGATCCAGATTGAATGAAAGGTCAACTTTGAGCTTAAATTCCCTGATGAACTGAGACACTAATGCATGGTAATTTTTGTGATGAGCAGTGTGAAGGGTTTTGTTATACATTGTCATGGGATAAACACAAGAACTCTGAGACAGACCACATTACCCTAATTTGGAAACCCAGAAGTAAAATTAAGGATACCTGTAGTTGGTTAACTGGGCTTTGAGGCTGGGACTTCATCTGCTCGTAACAACATTCCTCTATAATTTATCAAAGTAGAAAAATGTTTTAGTTATTAAGACATGCTACTGAGTGTTAAAAGATCAGATCAACAGATCCTCCCTGTTGCAGAACTATCTCCCCTCAGTTTACTCTGGTAGAAGTTTGCTTTATTTTGAAATCACACACAGATCACTCCCTCTATGTATAGAAGGGCAAATAGCTAAGATATTCAGATGCACAGACAGTGAAAATGAAAATGATTTTCTGTTCATAGGGATGGAAAGTTTTTAATTATTCACTAAGTGGGCATCATTTTAGATTGCTAGGAGGGCATCTTGCAATTAGGGGCTAACCACATACTGACGTATTTTTCAGCATAAGCAATCTTTTCTTTGACTGAAAAAGAGGCTGTGTGTTGCAGCAGTGGGTGATAAAATTCTATTCCTGAGTCTGCTTTCAGTTTTCTGTAAATTTGATGAAGGTTATTTTCTCATGCCATATCTCATCTTAGCCATCAGTAAAGCAGATTACTTCCTTACAGTTTTCAGACTTTTGTAGTGTCAATGCATTTGAATGTTGACTTAGTTAAATTTGTGCAAACCCTGTATGAAAAAGTTGGGTTTGTTTTGTTTGTTTTTGTTTTTGTTTTTGTTTTTTGTTTTTTTTTTTTTTTTTGTTTGTTTGTTTGTTTGTTTTTTGGTTTTTTTTTTTTTTTTCTCCCACAGTTCAGGTACTTTAGTTAGTTTAATTTTGCTTAACCCTAAATAAGGCTGGCAAAAATGTTGTGTTCATGTTACTTAAACACTGCTTTAACACCATAAAGGCTTCGAGATACACACTCTCAGCATATCTAGCTCTAACTGCAGTTATATGATGCTATACGATGTGGTATCTCTCTGCCAAGGATTATTAACTTCAGCCCAGTAAAGCAGAGAAAAGCTGTCTGCCCACCATTCAGCCTCTGGACTTGTGTCAACACTGATGATGATCTCTGGATAGCCACAACACAGAACTCATATGTGTTTGTTTCTGCCAGCTTCTGTGTGAGCATTGACTTTGGGCAGTGAGTAATGTGTCTTAGACTGCTTTAACATGCGTGGATCAAGCTGTTGTTTCAGCTGGTGCAGCTTTACATGTAGAAAAGCTATTGGGTTTGAGATATTTGGATGAACAGGACCATTTGAACTGTAAAAAATCAAAATCAGTATGAGATCTGGTCTTACAAATGCGAGTATGTATTATGTAGAATGTACAGTATGACAGTTTGCAGTTCTATCCCAAGTAGGTATTAATACGGCAATTGAAAAGGGGTAGATTCTCAAGTTTGCTATTTGACAAACACAGAAAGTGTTGGTTAGTCAGCTTATAACCATATATTTATTATAGCCTCTGAATAGATACATGTTCTTGAAATGAAGCTTACCTAAAATATTTTGGTTGAGATTGCCATAAACTGGGTCATCTTCTGTGTAATAGTCATCATAGCTAGAAGGGGAATAGAAAGATAATTTTAATTCACAGAATGTGCTTTATTTAGGACCCCACTATTCTACTCTAAACATTTTACACACATATAGCAATGACAGACTGTGTGTGATCTAAAAAACAAGATCAAAAATATTAGTCTAAACGGGGGGAGTAGGGGACGGGTGGACAGAAACGGCAATGCCTGTATTCTGAAGAGAGATTTTTTAACTAGTCAAGAATCCAACTCTTCTACTCTTCTTTCCTGTAACTAAGTATAAAGCTAATCTTAAGACTACTAAGCTACCATTTGATGTAGTTCTAGAAAAACTAATGATCACTGAAAAGAACTGAGTTCATGTCCTCTGAGACCACTTTGCAATACAAATTAAAACACCAAATGGGTCTTTTGGAGCGCTGTTCTTAAAAAGTCTGCTCCTGATTCAACTAAAAGTTATCTCAACACAACTAGAGAAGGTCAAAGTGAAGTTCAACTTTGGATTTTTAATGGTATTCTGTGTTTCATTACCTGATGTTGCCTGAAAATGTTTTTAAGCATGTTTGTAAAAGGGGAATTGTTGGGGGGAAGCACAGTGCAGCCTTGTTCCTATTACATCCTTATACTGTGCCTCGCAAAGGGAATGAAATAATGCAGTCTAACACTTTTTCACTGGTATTTTTCAACTGAACAGGCAGTAATAGACAAACAGAAACTTCCTAACTTCAAGTAAATTTATAATTGAGGATTGGTTTTGGGGAACAGGTAGAAACTTTTGTATTTTTGTTTCAAGGGTCTTTTATATTTGGGTTGAGATGAGGCTCTTTCCACCTCTTTTCTAAAGTTTGCATTTTTTTTAATATGGAATAATAGAAACAGACTTGTAAGAGATCATGATATATCCAGCAGTTGTAAAGAGTCTCCATTTTATTGCTTTTGAACACCATGTGTAAAAGAAGGGTATGAAACATAAATATATGTAAATTATTACTCCACAAGTATTAAATATCAGAAAACAATAATACAATATATTATATAATAATGCTATATAACTTTTATTAGAAAGTTATATAATTGCTTATATAATATAATATAATATAATATAATATAGAAGAACATATTGTTTTCTGAGAGTTCTTTTAAATGATTATAGAATTATTGATTTTGAGTGATAGTAACTAGTGTTTAGCTCAGTATCTTGCACTTCCTTTGGTATATAAAATTATCATATTAGCATGCAATTATTTCATCACTGATAAAATGACTGCAATACAACTCTCTGATGTGATTTTTTTTTTTCCCCTCTCTTTTCTTTGGAAAACTCTTTTTCTACAACCATCCTTTGCTCTGACAGTCCCAGGAAGGCTGCATGAGAGACTGGATTTTTCCTCTACACTGTCCCTTCAAAGCCATCTGTCATTATGTATTGCTTATTTCATCCTTGCCAGAAAGAAACTTTTTTATCCAACTTACCTTGGACTGTTGTCTTCATAGTCTTTATACATTTTAGCTGGAAAATTTGTTTAAAACAAAGTTAAGAGAAAATGAAACGTACTATTTTAGAACACTTCAAACAATTGTCTCAACTGACATGCTTTTGATTTCACTGTAGAGAGTAAAACTGAAAGCTGTTAGTGCTCAGGTCCTTCAGTTGTTCCCCTGCTTTTCTCAAAAATCTTTCCCTAATACAAGAAACGTTTGTGTCATGATCCTGTGCTGTGGGTGCAAAGTCTACATTAGTTCACAAGACCCCAAAAAAGTACTGTAACACATGCAATTAATTCCTTATTTCCTCCTGCTTCTACCTCATCTTTTTCTCTGCCTAGGGAGGTGCATCATGTGTTTATGTTACAAGGTGAAGGATTTATTTATTCTACTAGTTCTATTGCTTGTATCATTGAAAGAGAGATATCCTGTGATCCACACAGATGAAGAAATTGAAGCAGAGAGGCAATGGCTACAAAGAGATTTATTGCTAGATCTTGATTAATAACTCAGGAATGCCTGACTTTCTACCCTTCGGGACTCCAGAATTTACCACAGTAAGCTCCGATTCCATGAGCAATGCCAATCTGACTGAAACGTTGCTCAAGGTTAGTTTTGTAAATGGCTGTGATTTTTCATCATAGAAATATCTGCCTAGTAGCACTAAATGACAAAATAAACCAAAAAGACACCCACCCATCCCTCAACATTCCTGCAGCTCTTTTAGTATCCTATAATAGTCTTATTCTCTTATATTTGGTGAGTTCAGTTTATAAGCATAGACCTTCTGTTTATGTAGATTTTATATGTGTGTTTAATGTGGTTGAATCCTCCAGTGTTGGCCTGCCCACCCATAAGCATATAGCACAGTTGCAATCTTCCCTGTGTAAAGGCAGTTTTTCCCTGAATGGGAGTGGTGAGGATTGTACAACTTAACAACTATAGAACTGTATGCATAAGAGAGGTTGCACTGGCATAATCAATTCTGTTTAAAAAGTCACAGTTAATTTTAACCAAAACCAGAGTATATAGTCACCCTCTAACATAAATTAAACAAATCAGTTCCTTGCTGTGAGTAAGACATTGGTTTAAGAGCTACATTAGGATCCCATGATGAAAAGCAATTGAAATTTTTTTTCAAAATAAGCTGATTAAGCATAAAATGTGTATGAAATCTGAAATTCAAATAAGCATTCATGAATTTTGGGAGGGAAGAATTTTCTCAAATGTATCTTGTATCAGTGCAGCTACTTAAAATAATTTTTAAAGTAAAGTTCAAATAATAACCAGTTACATGAAAAGCACACTTAAAAAAAAGGAAATTACAGGTGTTAAAAATATATTTTAGAAATAAAAATTTATCCAGAACTAAATTCTTCACCTTGTACATGTTCTGTTAGTTTGTCTTCAGAGAATGGACTTGGGTAGCTGTTTTCAGCAGTGGATTGGGCAGCTAGCAATCATTCTGTAATCATATCTGACTCTCCTAAAAATTTTTCAAAGTTGCATCCTCTCTACTGGAATCATGCTTGCCAAAAGATAGCTTTAAGATTCAAAAGAATCAATTTGTTGGCTTGCAGTCTCCCAGCAGCGATGGCTTTCTCTACAGGCACTTTAAACACTCAAACTCCATTCCTCACAGAGACATTACTTACCTTGTTTCTTTTTCATATAGTGTGAAATGTTCAGTATCAATGAAACAACCAGAGACAAACACAGAAACGCCAAAACTCCCCAGACAGAAAAATGGCACTCCATTTCTGTAACTGAAAGAAAATAATTTTATAGTTTGTATTGTCTAACAGTTTTACTGTATTCTTTGTGCTTGGTTGGTTTTTGCTTTCTGTAATTGAAGCTGTTATTTTGTTGTTTACTCTGTGACAGCCATTGCTATATAAGCTAAATAGTTGTCAAAACCAGATGCTAAATAAGAAAGCAACATCAATAAACTGTTAAGAGAACTGCTGTTTCATAGGAATTCTGCCAAAGGTTGGGCTATTGGATTGCCTGTAAGATGCAGTAAAAATCAGCAGTTGCTAAAGAAAAAGTAATTTTAGTGAATGCCTTTGAAATTTCTTTTGTAATTGTCTTTAACTTACTGTTTGCAGTAAATTTTTGGCTACATTCTAGAGTTTGTGAATGTAGTTCTGTAGATGAATTCAGTCTAAACATCTTACCTCACTAGAAATGTCTCTGAATAATAGCTAAGATCATCAGATTTTAACAATCCCTGCAAAAAATTTCAAAGGTTGGTTATCCGTTTTCTTGCATCTCCTATTAAAACTATTTACTTGTACTCACATCCTCACTCTCCTTCCTGAGAAAGCAGAGGACGTAGTGGCAAAGCATGAGCAGTATCTGGGAACCAGTGAACTCCCCAAGAACTACTGCAGTGAAAACTCAAACAGCTCCTGAAAAATCACTTGGTAAAAGGTAGGTCAACTTAATTGGACAAAGCCTCCTTCTGCACTGAACTTGCCTTTTATTGGAGTCCTGTTAGAAACACAGGAAGGAACTCCTGCACACCAAATGTATTCTGTGATTTAATTAATTCTTCAATTAACCTAGATCATACACATTTTCTATTACAAACCATGCTGAAGAAAACAGCCTATTTGTGACAGTCTAATGGCCAAAATGATCAGCATTGTTGAAAATGGCCTGCAAAATCCTTCCTTGACAGAGGAAATGCTGAGCCAAATACCTGAGTGAAAGGAGCTTGAAGCTAGATTTTTCACTTTTCCCAGAGGCATGTTTTATGTTTTTCTAGATTTGGCATGTTTGAAATAAAGCCTGGTCCCAAAAACTAAAGAACTCCACTAATACTGCACAGAAAAAGTCTAGCTGGAGGAGGACAGTCAAAGGAAGAGATTGGATGGTACTGTCAGACTGAGATTTGAGCAGGTCCCTAATATGCTTTATTTAGTTTTGATGTAGCTGGATTTCTTCAGGAGGCTGACATTTTGTTTGCTTCTTAAAGGAAAGCTGAGGTAAAAGAGTACAGGAATACACTTTCCCATGTTGCTGGTCAGGGGTGGCAGTGGGCAATGCGTTTGCTCCTGATGAGAAGACAGAGCTTTGTTCCTTGGCTGACTAGCTCCAGCTCACCTTGGGAACTGTCCCTCATGGGTTTTGTTCCCCAATCATGCTGGCATTGCAAAAGCTCATTTGGTTTTGTTTTCCTCCAAGTCACAGGTGTTTTTATGATGATGAAACAAGAGAAGATAACCTTTGGTAGTAAAAAAAGCACAAATCACATGGGCTTCTGTGATGCAGGTTTCCTTCCTCACCAGAACTCTCTTTTGAAAGGAATAAAACAGATAAATAAGCTACAACTTTTTGACAGACTTTTAACTGGTTTTTGCACATGGCACTTTCAGTGGCCCATTCATCCTTCCTTTTATACTGAACATCCAATTTCCATTTCTTTTCTCCTGCTTGAGTTCTCTCAAAAGTGTTTGAGGGTTCTCCGCTAATGCAATACTAGTTTCATGTTGAGAGGCATTATTTTGCAATGAGATGCAGACATTCACGAGGAGAAACATCGTCCCTGTGAAGTAGCTGTATATTATTCCAATTTTTCAGAGAAGGAATTAAAAGAAAGGAAGATCCTACCTTGAGAAGATGTTATCAGGCCACATCAAGAACCACCAGTGTTTGGAACCTGGTTACTCTACATTAGTCACTCAACATTTGCATCCTATGCAACCTGTCCAAAACTAAAAGAAGTCTATGTCAAAGGCAAGAACTTTTAAGTCTCATTGTAGTCCCTAAATAATAAGGGCAATCCTTCCTTCTTCTCTTGTCCTTTTATCTTTTCTGAAGTAATTGTTTTCCACTTTTTTTTGTGTTTGTTTCAATTTTTTTTTTCCTTCAAACTCTTTTTTTTTTTTTCTTCCAGGGAGCAAAAGCATTATTGTGGCCGTAAGAGAAGTGAAGCATGTGTAACTATGATAGAAACTACAACCATGTGATTCATTAGAATAAAAAGAGTGAGTAGATACTTAAAATACAGTTCCAACCTAAGTATGTACCTTTTCCTTGATAGTGAATGCTGTCATTTTTTTTTGATTCAGTAATCCTATTTTTCTCTGGTGTTTCCAGAGTAGAAGGGGAACTCTTAGTTTCAATTTTAATATTTTCAGCACTTAACTGAAGTGGAGGAAGAAATAAAATTTTTTATGACAAGTATTATTTTCATGCTTCAGCTTTTGATTTAAATTGGAATTTTTATCTAGAAAACAGTAAAGACTGGAAAAAAGTTGTTTCCTTTTCAGTTTCAAGTTTAACTTCTAAAGTATTTGAGGACTCCCACTTCTCTAGGACTTTAAAAATATTCTAGCAAAACAAAACGTATAAAACTTGGATTTCTGATAAAATGTGCCAATGTTTTAAACCTCATAATCTATAGTTCTGTCTTAAACATGACTTAGAAAACTGCATGGGTGTCAAAAGATTAAGAAAACAACATTTAAACATCCTCCTCATTGACTATTATTTAGTTTATTTTTAAATTTATTTTCCACAACTCTGACTTAAACATCTGCTTGTACTATAGCAGAATGTATACAAACATATGTGTGACTTCAGTATCTCATTTTTAAATTTTTTTTGACTTTGCAATACAAGCTATTTGATTGTCAGACAACACTATTTATATTACAGAAACAACAGCAGTTTTCATTTACCCCATAAAACGATAGCAAAGGCCTTGGTCAGAAACATGCGGGTGCTGCTCTGAGTGCTTTATGCTTTTCTAATGTCAGTTTCAAGTTAACCTTGTTTTCCAGGTACAAAATATGAGAGGTTTTGATTTTATATCTTAGCTTTAAAGATATACAACTCCTCGCTCTTTCCCAGGTGTTCTTGTACTACCCTTATAGTTGTTGACAATATGCTAGCTATTTACATTTATAACCACTTTATTTAAATATTTGCTACTTTAACAACAGCAACAGTAGAAGGAAAGCTGAATACCTGTGTGAAGAACAATTTGTCTCCTCAGAAAACTATGCTGTCCCTATATTTATAGTAGCAGATGCAGCCTGTGACAGTTGTGCTAAAGGACAAAAAAAAGATAAGGTGATTGTGGATGGAGAGTGAGAAATAAATAGAATGGGAAGTCTATTAGACTAATTACAGTCTGTTCTGAAATAGTGTCTCTATTTTTAATTCTCATTCAAGTAATTTACTGTCAAATGTAACCAGATTATTATTTTTTACATATTACAAATTTATTCTAAAGATCCCATAGAACTGTGTTCAGGGGCATTCTCACTCAATTGCCATCAAATTGAATATTTTAAAAAGTTTTGTTATATCTTTGAATAAAAAGACCTAAGGAAAAATTAGGCCCCTGGGAATACTGCATTACAATTCTAATAGTGTAAACTCAAATTCCATCAGAGTTTTCTGCAGTAGTCTATCTGTGATGGGAAAACTGAAGAATGATAGTAGTTTGTTCATTAGAAATCATATTGAGGATGTTCTTAAAGTAATGTGCTCCTCTGTGAAAGAAAAGAGTTCATCATGTAACCAAAGTTTTCATGAGGACAATTCTCGTTTTATTCTTAGAAGAATCTGGGACATGTGACTGGGGGAACTACTATATTTAATCATTACAAAGATGACGATATTTTGAATACCTAATACCGGAATTTCTCTAATATTAGTGATACGTTCCTATTCTGATGTTCTTTCATTTCTATTTGGAAACAGGGTCAAACTCAGAATTGCATCCAAGTAGAACATCTACCTTAGCTAATTTACTCCATCTGGGTATGTTTTTACTTTTCTCACTTCAAGGATGGGGTTACACACCTCCTCTTAGTATATTTTACACTACTATAAAATAAAGGTACTATATTCACACAACAAAATACAGGAAAACAGAAGACTTTCTAAAGACATAGTTAATTGTGCTTTTCCTCCTTTTCAAATCTATTGTCAACTTTCTCCACGAACAGAGACAAGACATGGGAATAAATAGGTTTTTTTGGTCACTTGTTCTTAGTTTTCTCTTTGCAAGGTTCATTATACTGTAATGACCAGCAGAACAGAATGAAGAAGCAAACAAAACAAACAAACAGAAACCCCCAAAACATTTTAATTTTTCCTGCAAGTCAATGTTATTGCAACTCAAAGTGGATATAATCGTGTACTTACCTTTGGGGAAAGGGGCCAGATTTAACATTTTGGGGCTAGAAATAGGTGTTTATCCTCCTAGCATCATAAGAATAGACAGCAGAAGTACTAAGTTTCATTCCTTCTTGTTGTAATGTATTCTGTTTAGAGAATCCACCACAAAGACTAACAGGAAGATATCATACTTCTACAAATTTTTATTACTGAAAAGGAACATGAGGTGGGGAATACAGATACTTGTCTGGCTGGACATGCCAGCTGGTATCAACTCATCATTCCTAGAAGCAGATTGATTACTTTGGTCACTACCAGATTTAAGATGATTATCTGGAGCACAAAATGGTTTGTTTCCTATTGTTTCTGTCTGCAAATTTGTCAAAGATGAGATAAAACTAGCTTCACCCCCACGTTCCAATTAAATGGTGAAATAAATAATATTCTGTATTAATGACCCTTAGAAAAAGAAATCCATTAAGAGATTGATGAATGATAAGTTAGCATTAAAGATGCTTCCATCTATGTGAGTTTTTAAGACAGGATTAATCCTCCAGAAAGAATTCCTTAAACTGCAATTAATTAGTGCACAACTAATTGCTTTGTAAGATATCAACTTCATACTTCAGAAGGGAAGCATTACATTGTAAAATAAGAAGCCCTCAGCACAGTAAATATTTTAAGCACAAAACTAATGCCATTCCTTAGTCTTCATTAACAAACCTTAATGAAGGTTTAAGCTGTTGATGATGACTCATCATCATCATGATTATTATTAATACTTTGACTTCAGAACCCTGAGAAACCTTCTTGGAAGACTGGTAATCTACCATAGCGTGTTTTTACTGCTCCTTTGTTTGCAAGTTTATAATACTGAAAATATAAAGCTTACCTGTTGTTGCTGTTTCTAGGAATACTCCCCACCTCTTTATCCAACAGGAAATCAAGTGATGTTGGCAGACCTTGGATGCTCTATTATTTTGGACCTGGCAGCATGAATCTGTCTCTAGAGTTTCTGTCAATCTTAAAGGACTTAATCCTTCTTTTCACCTGCTTTCTTATAAACAGGATATGTGGTTCAGGCTTTTATAACCTCACTAGCAAACTGACGGTCTCCTTCAGTGTTTGCCTCCAAGAGAGGAATAAAATATTTATGTGTGCACTTGCATTTATAATCTACCTGTTTTGCCACAGAAGAGCATGCACAGGACTATTAGTTCCATTTTATGTAGTACAAACCTACTTTGTTAACATTCATGAGAGACCCATACTCTAAGTCTTCCATTTTGTGACATTATGTTGAATTCAACAGGAGTATTTAGATATCTCTTACACTAAATTACAGAATTATTTTACCTAGGAGTGCTATTAAATGCTCTATCTCTTGAGGCTTCTGAACCAAGTCTGAAAGACCATCGCTGAGAGAGCCTACAGTTTAGCTGAAACAGGATTCAGAGGCACGATACAAAAATGATACCGTTGCCAGCTCTGGAAGGTCAGGTTAGGATTTCATAATATGTTTCCTCCATTCTTTAAAGTTTATAAATCTGGGCCCACAATCCAGAATGGTTGTGGAAAGAGAGGATAAATCAGCATGTGGCTTACTGTGTGTATTTATCTTTAAAATTTAATGAAACACGCCTGTGTTTGGGTAGGGAAGCCATTTTACTCTCAGAATCAGAGTAGCTTCTTCCAGAGGAAGCTTGCACTCTGAGCACTGTCAAAGAAGCTTTCTGTTAACTTCTGAGGTTTTGGGTGATTTCTTCTTTGCAGAGCAAACGGTTTTATATCCAGTTATGCATAATGTAGAAGTGGGAAGGGTTTCTTAAGAGAAAAAGTTAATCACATGACTGTGTGTGTTTTTTCTGGAGTACTGACATTGAAAATACTCTCAGTGTAATCTAAGGAGCGATGTAAAACTTTGCTCTTCAAGAAAGTCTCTTATGTGAGAAAATGTTCTTTGCACTATATGTTTATTTGGGATTTTATTACTTTGGAATATTATTTTTATATTAACTGCCTCCGATCAATGTTTAGGAAATAATTTACTGGATTAGCATTTTATTCAAACAGGAAGGAGCATGTTAGTCTTTATTAATATAACATACCCTTCCATTTGAGTCCAAAGGGGATATAGACTCTTAACTACTCAGAGCTTTATCATAATAAAGTGAGTTGAGGAGAAGCAATTAATGTAAAAATATTGAAAATGGTGGGAATTCTTACACTTTATAGTGGTTTTGAGGTTGTAATTATCATGATGAAAAACTGCATTAAAAATGACACTATTTTAAAGTGGACATAGCTTCGGCATTTGCCAGCAACTGAATTTAGATAGCCCTCTCATATATTGGTAGAGTCAAAATTTCTCATTGTTAAACCAGAAAGCATGGATCCATCTCATTTCAAAGAAAACCAGGTTATAGAAGTAGAGTTCCTTTCAGTAAGTGATGCATCTTATGATCCGTACTCTAAACTGTGACTATAAGCAGGGAAGAGATCCAGTTTTGTGGAGACTGCAATTCACATGTTGGAAGTAAAGTCTGTGTCATGAGCCTAGGGAAGGAGAAGGACTTGACCAGTTATAATGACTGTATTTAGAAGATCCATGTTGTAGGATCAAGTGAACAGAAAACTCCTGGGACCATCTGATAATATTAGGCATCTCAAGAGGAGGCCTCTTGTTAAGAAAAAGAAGGATTCTGAACTGAGAGAAAAGCTGGAGAGAGTGGGAGATAAGCCTTGTAAAAACAGAGACAGTTGCTTAGTTTCTCAGCTAAGAGCACGAAGAGTAAATGTGAGATCTGCAGAGGATTCAGAATCAAGTTTATCAGTCTGAACAAGAAGCTCGCAAGGAATAAACTCCTTTGGAGATAACTAGGGGCATGAAGGAATGGTGAACACTGAGAATTCAGCAGGGGATTTCTGGGTTTGTAGTCCTGGTGGTGTGTTAATAAATCTACTCTCCAAGAGCAAATAATTGTTATATAGTATCAGCTTTGGCTGGCTGCAGAAGCAGTCTATTGGATTGGACATAAACTTGGTATGCTATTTTGGGCAGCCTGCAACAGACTGAAAGCTTCATTAGATAGCAAGATAGCTGCAGGCTGTAAAGTCTATCGTGAATATAACAGATTTCTTACTTTTCTTTCTTGTCCTTTATATCGGTGCTATGTCAAAAAACCTAGTGAGCCAGTAGTCGGCTTAAAGTGTTGTTATTCAGGATAATAAAGACAAGGACAAGACAATTCATACTTAATTTTAGAAAGACAGGACACAAGGTAATGCTACTCCATTCGCATTTATTGTGTATGAAGTCATTTTCTCTTTTGAAAGTCCTCATCTATAAGATGCTGTGTGCATATTCTGGGAAAGTTCTTTGACTGTTTAGATATTTATGTGCTCTTTGGTAAACATATGTTGCTGATGTATCCAAGAACATGTCCATCTATGTCAAATGGACATCTGACTTGGCTGGGAATAACTCTTCCTATTTAAGTTCTTGGGGTAAATGGAGTACTATTAAATATTTATGTGCACAGATGTACATGAAGGAGAAAGTGTGTGCTCAAATGGAGTGAAACAAACAGTACTCTGACAGAAGACTTGGATGATCTAGCAAAGATGACTGAGAGATCATCTGACAAAGTCAAAAAAGAGTTTACAATGTAGTATTTTGTTTGTTGTTTTAGGGAAAGACAAGCAGAAGCATCCTAAAGTAGGCATGAAAGACCACTCTATGTTGGGAAGGGAAGACATACTTAGAAAAGGAGAGGGTGGATCTTGAATTTCTTTGGCTTAGCTGAGTCTTCCTAAGCTTGATATTAGTGTAGGGGGCGAAGGGAAAG